TTCATTTCTTCTTTCCCTAGTTGCTTTAGGTGTAGAGTTAGTTTATTTATTTGACTTTTTTCTTGTTTCTTGAGGTAAGCCTGTAACGCTCTGAACCTTCCCCTTAGCACTGCTTTTACAGTATCCCATAGGTTTTGGGTTGTTGTGTTTTCATTTTCATTCATTTCTATGCATATTTTGGTTTCTTTTTTGATTTCTTCTATGATTTGTTGGTTATTCAGAAGCACGTTATTTAGCCTCCATATGTTTGAATTTTTAATAATTTTTTTCCTGCAATTGAGATCTAATCTTACTGCACTGTGGTCAGAAAAGATGACTGGAATGATTTCAATTTTTTTGAACTTTCCAAGACTAGATTTATGGCCCCCCCAGGATGTGATCTATTCTGGAGAAGGTTCCGTGTGCACTTGAGAAAAAGGTGAAGTTGATTGTTTTGGGGTGAAATGTCCTATAGATATCAACTAGGTCTAGCTGGTCCATTGTGTCATTTAAAGTTTGTGTTTCCTTGTTAATTTTCTGTTTAGTTGATCTACCCATAGTTGTGAGTGGGGTATTAAAGTCTCCCACTATTGTTGTGTTACTATTAATTTCCTCTTTCATACTCGTTAGCATTTGCCTTACATATTGTGGTGTTCCTATGTTGGGTGCATATACATTTATAATTGTTATATCTTCTTCTTGGATTAATCCTTTGATCATTATGTAGTGTCCTTCTTTGTCTCTTTTCACAGCCTTTATTTGAAAGTCTATTTTATCTGATATGAGTATTGCAGCTCCTGCTTTCTTTTGGTCTCCATTTGTGTGAAATATTTTTTTCCAGCCCTTCACTTTTAGTCTGTATGTGTCCCTTGTTTTGAGGTGGGTCTCTTGTAGACAGCATATATAGAGGTCTTGTTTTTGTATCCATTCAGCCAGCCTTTGTCTTTTGGTTGGGGCATTCAACCCATTTACATTTAAGGTAATTATTGATAGGTATGGTCCCATTGCCATTTACTTTGTTGTTTTGGGTTCACGTTTATACAACATTTCTGTGTCTCCTGTCTAGAGAAGATCCTTTAGCATTTGTTGAAGAGCTGGTTTGGTGGTGCTGAATTCTCTCAGCTTTTGCTTGTCTGTAAAGCTTTTGAGTTCTCCTTCATATCTGAATGAGATCCTTGCTGGTTAGAGTAATCTAGGTTGTAGGTTATTCTCTTTCATTACTTTAAGTATGTCCTGCCATTCCCTTCTGGCCTGAAGGGTTTCTATTAATAGATCAGCTGTTATCCTTATGGGAATCCCTTTGTATGTTATTTGTTGTTTCTCCCTTGCTGCTTTTAATATTTGTTCTTTGTGTTTGATCTTTGTTAATTTGATTAATATGTGTCTTGGGGTGTTTTGCCTTGGGTTTATCCTGTTTGAGACTCTCTGGGTTTCTTGTATCTGTGTAACTATTTCCTTCCCCATTTTAGGGAAGTTTTCAGCTATTATCTCCTCGAGTATTTTCTCGTGGCCTTTCTTTTTGTCTTCTTCTTCTGCGACTCCTATGATTCGAATGTTGGGGCATTTCACATTGTCCCAGAGGTCCCTGAGGTTGTCCTCATTTCTTTTGATTCTTTTTTCTTTTTTTCCTCTCTGCTTCATTTATTTCCACCACTTTATCTTCTACCTCATTTATCCTATCTTCTGTCTCCATTATTCTACTCTTGGTTCCCTCCAGAGTGTTTTTGATCTCATTTATTGCATTATTTGTTTTTAATTGACTCTTTTTTATTTCTTCTAGGTCCTTATTAAACATTTCTTGCATCTTCTCAATCTTTGTCTCCAGGCTATTTATCTGTAACTCCACTTTGTTTTCAAGATTTTGGATCATTTTTATTATCATTATTCTAAATTCTTTTTCAGGTAGATTCCCTACCTCCTCCTCTTTTGTTTGACTTGGTGGGCATTTTTCATGTTCCTTTACCTGTTGGGTATTTCTCTGCCTTTTCATCTTGTTTAGGTTGCTGTGTCTGGAGTGGGCTTTCTGTATTCTGGAGGTCTGTGGTTCCTTTTTATTGTGGAGGTTTCACCTAGTGGGTGGGGTTGGACCATTGGCTTGTCAAGGTTTCCTGGTTAGGGAAGCTTGCGTTGGTGTTCTGGTGCATGGAATTGGATTTCTTCTCTCTGGAGTGCAATGGAGTGTCCAGTAATGAGTTTTGAGATGGGTTTATGTGTTAGGTGTGACTTTGGGCTGTCTCTATGTTCACGCTCAGGGCTATGTTCCTGCATTGCTGGAGAATTTGCATGGTATGTCTTGCTCTGGAACTTATTGGCTCTTGGGTGGTGGTTGGTTTCAGTGTAGGTATGGAGGCTTTTGGGTGGTCTCTTATTACTTAATGTTCCATGTAGTCAGTAGTTTTCTGGTGTTCTCAGGTTTTGGGCTTAAGTCTCCTGCCTCTGGATTTCAGTTTTATTCTTCCAGTAGTCTCAAGACTTCTCCAACTATACAGCACTGATAATAAGACTTCTAGGTTAATGGTGAAAAGATTCTCCACCATGAGGGACACCCAGAGAGGTTCACAGAGTTACATGAAGAAGAGGAGAGGGAGGAGGGAGATAGAGGTGAGCAGGAGGAGAAAAAGGGGACTCAAGAGGAGAGAGGCAGATCTACGCAGTTATCTGTTCCCAAAGTGTTCTCCGTAGCCCAGACACCCACAAAGATTCACAGAGTTGGATTGGGAAGAGAAGGGGAAAGGAGGAAATAGAGGTGTTCTGAGGTAGAAAACAGAGAGTCAAAAGTGGGAGAGTAATCACCACACTCCTGAAGAGAAATGGGAACTGAATATTGGATTCTTAAATGTCCAAAATTTATATCACACACTGAGAAACAAAGATTAAAAATCTAGAGTAGAGGTTAGACTCTTAAAAATACAATATTAAAAACAAAAACAAAAACACAAAAAATTTTAGAAATATATATGAAGTTCGGTTTAAAAATAGGGCTTCTCTTTTTTTTTTTTTTTTGCAAGGTTATAGTGAAATGAAAATGAAAATTAAGGAGTAATAGAGGAGTAATAAAGGACTTTAAAAGAAAATAAGAGAAAAAAAAGAAAAAAAAAATTTTTCCTAATTAAAAAAATAGTAAAATATATGAAAACGAAAGTTAAGGAGTAATGTGGGAGTAATAGGGAATTTTAAAAGAAAATAAAAGAGAAAAAATAAAAAAGAAAAGAAAAGAAAAAAATTTTTAATTAAAAAAAAAAAAAGGTAAAAATATTATCTAGGAATTTCTCTCGAGCTGTTGCGGTCAGTGTGGGTTCGGTTCAGTTTCAGATAGCTCCTCTTTCCAGTTTACACTTCTCAATATCTATAGGCCCCTTCCGGTGTAGTCGGTGTTATCTACAGGGATTTTAATCTGTTGCACCAGTCCCTTCTGAAGCAGTTCCCTTTGTTTATTTGGCTTCTGTTTGCCGGTCTCTTCAGTGTCTAATTTCCGCCCTGACACAGGCGGGTGGAGGTGGTCTCTTGTTCAGGTTCGCTAGTTCAGTCCTGCTGCCGGGAGGGAGGGGCGCTGCAAAATGTCTTCCTTTTTGATTCTTTTATCTGCGTGCTTGGTCACAGATGGATCTACAAAGATGATGAGGTTTAAGTCAAAGAGCCCCTCATTAAAATGAAGCTATTTCGATGCCTTGAAACCAATATAATCATGTGGTCAGAAGTTTTTACGGAATTTTATAAAAGCAAGATATTTTACCTAGACTGATGCATAGTTTTGTAGCGTAGTTTATTTATTTATTTATTTACTTATTTATTTATTCATATTTTTTTTAATTTGGCTGTGTTGCATCTTAGTTGCTACATGTGGGATCTTCCATGCGTAGTGCAGGATCTTTCATTGCAGCTCATGGACTCTCTAGTTGTGGTGAGAGGACTCAGTAGTTATGGCACATGGGCTTATTTGCTCCATGGCATGTGTGATCTTACTTCCCCGACCAGGGATTGAACCTGTGTCCCCTGAATTGCAAGGCAGATTCTTAAACACTGGACCACCAGGGAAGTCTCTGTAGCTTAGTTTATATTAGTAATTTTGTCTTCTTATCTTTAAGGACGGCTCTCCAAATTTTAAAGATTTTGACACACAAAACCTAGCTTCTCTCTTATAAGGAACAATTATTTATATTTTGTTGAACAAATAAAGGAAAGAAGTGAAAGCAGAGAAAGGGAATAAACATGTTATTAATCATATACTTTGACATTTAAAAATTTAGCTTTTCTGGCAAAGATTTTCCATAAACCACCAACAGGCAATGCTAACATATAACTCTTGTATAATGTCTATGAATTACAAAATTCTTATACAGATATGGTTGTGGTGATGATTTAGTTTCTAAGTCATGTCCAACTCTTGAGATCCTGTGAACTGTAGCCTTCAGGCTCCTCTGTCCATGGGATTTTCCAGGCAAGAATATTGGAGTGAGTTGCCACTTCCTCTGCCAAGGAGGCTTCCCTACCTAGGGATTGAATCCAGGTTTCCTGCATTACAGGGGGATTCTTTTACTTCTGAGCTACTAGGGAAATTCTTATACAAATATATAGTTTACTAAATCTTTCTACCAGCACTTCAGGTCAATTTAATCTTCAGGTAACATAGTTGACATTGAAATGTTCACAACTCTGCTATTTGTAAAAAGATGTTACTATGCTCAATTATTAAAAACTTTAAAGATGTCAATTCAGTGACTTACTCATGTTTCTTACAATGTCAGCACTGGGAAGAAGCTGAAGCCCTGATACCAAATCTACTCTTTTCATTACAATATGATGTTTACAAATGGATTTAAATAAACTAAAACTTATTCTACAAACAAGTAATATAAAATAAAATAGAATTGATAATATTGTTGACTCCAAATGATGAATATTTTCTTTCCTCTCTTCTCTTCTCTTCTCTTTTTACAGGTGTTTAATATTATCCAACTGCCATAAAGTTAAATAATTTTTTTTGAAATTTGAACCTAAATTCTACTGAACACAAGATCAAAATGTGGTTGCTGTTCAGTCTCCTTGTAATAATATCTTTTAAAACTTGTCTATCAGGTAAGAAATATCCTGTATATAACATATAACTTCCACAATTTATGTCAATGTAATTAATATTCTTTTCACTATATTGAATCTCGTGTGTAAAGTTCAGAATTAATATTTTCTTTTGCCATCTGGGTCAGGCAAGTAAATGCATATATATTAAGGCTGACACTTTTGTTCTTTTTTCTTTTTAGTTTCAATTAAAATTTCATAAGATTTAAGTCAATCAATCTTATATAGTGATGTGCTGGTAAATGTTTAAAATCTGAATATCTGGGAGGGAAAAAATATCCCTGCTGTAGCATTTGTCAATTCCTACACAGTAAATTGTCCGACTGTTGTCATTTTCAACTTGAAACCATTTAAGGTGGTGGGAGAAAAGTTATGCAACAACACACCATTATATAGTATGTTCACTATAGGGGTAAAATCAACTTAACCTCATTAGTATACATAAAAGTAAAATATAGTAAAATACTAGAATATAATGGATTTTAAGCTTTTGTTATTTTTTATAAGTCAATATAATTTAATTTTTATTATTGGCTGGTTAATGTTTTGAAAAACAATTCAAAAATAATATACAGTGTTTTCAAGGACTTAAGAATAACAATGCAGTTTTAAGTATACTGTAGTTTTAGGATAAACAAACACTATATTTCTATTTTTCAAATATAAGTGTGAAAAATTCAAGAATATTTTCTGAAGGTACATTGTATTTTTATCTGAAGCAGTGTGTTTTCTAACAATATTTTCTGATACCTCTGTCTCAATTACCTTAATTCAGCACTTGTTGAGTTGCTATTAAGTTCAAGATATAGATGGATCTCATATTTTCATTTACAAACTTCCCTTGATTGCTTTAATAATGAACTTGATGGGTATCCTATTGTATTTCTTAATTATTATTAAGGAAATAAAAATGCTATTTTACTTTGGGGAGTAATTTTTATTATAACTTCAAAATAAAAAAAAGTAATAATCTTATTGTCAGTACTTGAGAATTTTAATGATATAAACAGAAATTATACATACATACACATATATAGAACTATTTGCATATATGCATATATATCATTTAAATATAATAAAGAAAAATTTGTGGTAAGGTTATTATTGCTGTCTACCTTTATGAATAAAAGAAAGCAAAGATATTCTTATTAGCATTGAAAATTCATGCCAATTCTTTAAAATTTTGGTGCTGTAATTATAAAAATGCAAAGATAAGAAATAAATATTTCCAAAGATATGGTCATTCTTCAGCCTTAATGGTGAAGAGCTGATAATCTAATTTCATTAACTAATATCTCCATTATTTGAGTAACATTTGAAATCAAAACTTGAAGAGCAGCTTTGGGATTAATTTTTTCTGTTTTTTGTCATTTTTTTTTTTTTTCTTTTTAGAGTTTACATGGCACAGAAGGTATGGTCATGGAGGTAAGTTGATGAAAGGGTAACTTTTTAAATAGATTTCTTCAAATAAACCATATTTCACCCCTACATTAAGCTATTAAGTTTTCAAATTTATAGCAAGTGGTTACAATTAGAGCACTTGGAAATTTTGTAGATGTTTTATCTGAGGTCTTCATGCAACTTATTTGATTACCAAAATAACTGAATAGATATACCACAAGCAAATATCCAAGTGGAGGACTGTAGCAGATAGAATATATTCAATGCAACCTGTATTTTTCTTTCATGTTTTATAATAATCCTATAGTACTTAATTTTGCAGCAATATTTTTAATATTGTGAAAGTCTAGCTTGTTTTGAAAGCCTTCTGCTTTGCTGCAAGAAGGAGAATTAAAGTTAATAAGCTTGGGACCTTAAGATTCAGTTTAATTAGAAATCCAAATAATGAAAAATTTATTGTTTATCCTTCTCTAAATATAACTAGCAATCCTGATGGTTTAGATTATATTTCAACCACTGAATAGCACTTGCTAGAAATATAGACTGGAAAAAATAGAGTTTAGAGTAAGATCAGGTTGGACTTACATATTCAACCTGGTATTCACTATGTGATCTTGTACAAATTATTCAATTTCTATGAGAATTATGTTTCCAACATGTAAAAATCACAGGATTCTTGTGAACACTAATAAAACAATGTGATGATAACTTACAGCACAGTGACCTACGTAGTAGGTGCTCAATAAACATGGTAAAAGTGGTAATCATTGGAAGCCACAGCATAGTGGTAGGAGAATAAATAATTAGGAAGAATCACTGAGCAATCAGTGCTATTGCTTTCATGCCAAAGAAAGATTTTCATGCCAGAGTGAGTCAGAATCTCCATTGATAGGGGATTTATAGAAAGGAAAGTCTCAGCAAGAAGCATATCAAAGCTATTTCTGTTGTTTCCTTGTGAGTTAGCCTATATACTGTGAGTCTAGGCTATATAAAATCAGTGATGTATGCTCCTTGATTTCAAGAACCTTACATATAATAAGGAATAATAAAAGTAAGTGGATAACAAATTCATAAGAAAAATATGGGGATCGGGATGGGGAATACATGTAAATCCATGGCTAATTCATGTCAATGTATGACAAAAACCACTACAATATTGTAAAATAATTAGCCTGCAACTAATAAAAATAAATGAAAAAAAAAGAAAAATATGATAGGCTCTTTAAAATAATTGAGGAATTAATAAATATTTAATGATGGAGCTAGTAGGCAAGGGAAACTGGAAGTATTTCAATTATTAGAAATGGAAATAATTCTTAGAGGAAGTAGAACAAATAAAACACAGAAGTGGGTAAATATAGACTGTGTTAAGTCGCTAATTCAAAGAACACTTGTTCTGCAGGATGTTAGTAAGACTTCATTGTCAAATAAACTTGATAAAGGCTAGTTCATTGAACTTCAACAGTTTATGATTATGTGTGCTGTTTTTGTTCAGTCCCTCCATCATGTCTGATTCTTTGCAACCACATGGACTGCAGCACACCAGTAATGGATATATTCGTTTCCTAGGACTGCTATAGCTATAATAAAATCACCAACTGGGTGGCTTAGAACAGCAGAAATTTATTGTCTTACATTCTGAGACGAGATGTTCCAAAGAAAGGAGATATTAGAGTCAGGTTTCTGCTGAAACCTGTATGGGAAAGCTCTTTCCTTTCATCTTTCAGCTTCTGGTACCCCAAACACTGGGCTTCCTTTGTGGCTCAGATGGTAAGGAATCTGCCGACAGTGCATGAGACCGAGATCAAGAAGATCCCTATGAGAAGGGAATGGAAACCCACTCCAGTATTATTGTCTGGAGAACTCCATGGACTGGAGTTCTGGCGGGCTACAGTCGATGGGGTCACAGTCAGTCAGACACAGCTGAGCGACTCACAAACACACACACATCCCAAACATTCCTTAGCTTATGGCAACAAACACAGACAGACATAAGGTAGGTGTGAACAGATGCCCAGACTGTTATGCAAAACACAGTATTTAGAGCTTTGAGGTTGCACCATAGGTCAAGGAAGTGGTTGTCATTAATAACTGTGAAAGGCTCTTCTTAGGCAAATAAAATCATGCAAGGAAAATTTAGTCAACTTAACCATTCTGATAACCTGATCTTAATTTTCCTTCTAATAATTGGATTCCTGTACATTCTCAAGACCAACTTGTTATATTTTAGCTATGATATATCGCTGCACTGTTACCTATTACCCATGAGACTAAAGAACTGATGAACCAGAGTATTCAAAGCCTAAGCCCTAAATGTCCTTATTCTCTTATCAGTGAAGAATGCTTGAAAATAGAGATAATAATAATGCTTTGAGCCAATTTAAATATTGTCTCATTTAGAGAGTTTACTGCATTTTAAGAGGGCTTACAATACTCCCCAGGCCATATCCACTGAATATTGTAAACACTGTAAAAATTCAAATATTAGACTCTGCTAAAATTTTGTTCTCATTGCTTTCTTCCTGAAACTCTCATTAAAACATACTTATGTAAAATTATGTTTGAAAACTAACAGATTAAGATGACATATTACAGAATGAGAAATAGGATTTCTTTCATTGAATATAAAATGAATAAAAACAACTCTCAAGCACAAATTGTAATTATACTTTCAATTTCCAGAGATAAAATAGGGTAGCAAGGTTACGGTGGATCATCTCTACATAGCAAAAGGTGAAATATTTCATTTAAGATCATACACTAACTGACTACATTAACTGTGAGACTGAGAATGTTACTGAAAAAAAGCAGCAGTTTTTGCCTTTCTGTTAATCTTCTTGATCAAATTTAAGGAATGAACTTACTTCTGCAATAGATGACCACTATATGGTAGAAAATAAATTTGTATTGAGTAAATCAAAGAATGATTTGAAGTAATTTTTTCAACTAGCTTGAGAAGTTATCTATATAACTGTGTGCTCCTTTTTAGAAGACTATATCTAGCACCAAAAAAGAGCGTATGTTTTAAAAACAACCTTATCTTGTTAACATATTTTCCATTTGTTTCTCTACCCTTTAACCTCATGATACTTCCAAAGCATGATAATTTGTCATCTGATTATTTCCATTGCCCTAGAAAAAAAGCAGTGGATAACTTAATTTTGTTAACAGAGATTATAATGCTTGTATTAATGGATCCTTTGCTGAACCTTGTGTGGTATTACCCCTGAAAGTTCTTTTTTCTTGATCTGAGTGCCCTAGCTCAACAGAGCAATGAGCTTGGATAATCTTCAAGGGGGTTATAAAGCTGATATTCAGAAGCTAACACTGAGCATACCAAAGCAATTTGAAGCCGGTGATGAGTAATTTATCTCCCAAGAGCCCAAATATGTCCTCAAAATAAAATGCATATTGTAATTGGTAAACCACCTAATGAAATACATTATTTTATTCAGGCTTGAAAATATTAGAAAAGCAAGAAATATTTATAAAATTTATAAATATATGCTAACATTTTATAACATTTATAAAATAATATTAACTAGAAACAAATGTGATATCAAGTGTGCCATACTCTCCTTTTGTTCTTAAAATGGGCAAAAGGAAATATCTTCAATATAATATTTTGTCAAAATGGAAAAATTCAGTGTTTTATTGGAAATTAGTTTCATATTTTATCACTTAAAGGATTCATTGTCTCTTTCTGTAAAGGGCAAATGGAAATGGACCACTTGGAAATATCTGCATATAATTTTGGAAAATAATTTGTTGAGAATAAAATAGCATAGGGCACTGATAATATTCAGTTTGGCCTATAAACTTCAACCCAACTCACCCTCAAAGTGTTTTATCTTCAATCAGTAGAGGGTTTGCCAATCAATAGACATAGTCTGATCATTATTAACATGTAGCATTTCATTATTTTCGATGGAAATTGCCATTGCTGATATCTTTTCCAGAAAAAAACATGCCTTATGATCATGATGAAGAAACATATGTTCAGTTTTCTAAAAGCTGATGAATTTTTATCTCAAAATAACATATCTTAAAATCAAATGATATGCTATCAAAAGAAACATTTAAAACCATGCATTTTATGAAGATATGCAAGTGTGCAACTAACCTCTACCTCCACACAGATGTATGTTTATGTGCAGCTGTCTTTGTATTTCAAGGCACCATACAATATTTGAAATAATCAAGGCAATTAGGAATGAACAAAACTCAACTATTTCAAAGTGATAAAACTAGTTATTTTAAGAAAATTAATAAATTATTAATTAAATTGAGAATTCAGGATTGTTATAATCCCTGTAAGGCTTCCCTGGTGGCTTAGATGGTGAAGAATTGACCTGCAATGCAGGAGATAATGACACTACCAGAGGACTCTTTAGAAGCAGGTGCTAGACAGGCCAGGATTAGCTATTTCTACATTGGAAATACAATACTGTTAAAGAATCTTTAGTTAATGCAACTGTGCACCTATTGAGATGAGTTCACATTATGTAAAATTGCATGTGATCACAATTATTAAGTGAGGTACATATTTAGTTAGTGGAAAGTACTTCCAATTTGCTACTTATTCCAAAATTCTCCAATGTATGTTGAAATGGACCTAAGGAAAATCTCTAATCTTGAAGACCTAAAATCCTATTAACAGTGTCTTTCACAGAACAGAACTTTTAAACTTTAATAAAGTCCAGCTTATCATTTTTTTTTCTTTTATGGATCATACTTTTGAAATTATGTCTCAAAATTCTTCACCATATGCAAGGTCTGAATGAAGTTATTGACTGAATTAAGGACAACCAAAACCTCTAGTTCATTAAACTGTAACCTCACAGAAGACCATTTAAAATTCTTATGTTATCTCTAATGTAACAAGTGGAAACTCAAGATCTAATCCAGTGTAGATAAGTGGACTTCTGTTTAAGTTTTATAATTGCACCAAACATTCATTCCTCTTTAAATTTGATGATCTTTTCTGTTGATAATGATAGTAATACCATAATCATCAAGCTTGTATATAAATACAATGCATTTAGAAGATATTCATGAGCTTAAACTCCCCTAAGATGTATTTATTTTAATATTCTGAATAATTAGTATGTTTAAATTTTTAAAAATTGCTCAAAATTGTCACCCTACTCATTATTAATCAAGGGTTAAAGTGAGAATAGTATTCATTTTACCTTCAAGAAGAGAATCAAAATATGTTAATAAAATTGAACTTCACTGCTCATCTTTTTAAGCATTTTTGTGTGAATTGGGAAGAAGCAGCAGAAGCTCCAAAGCAGCAGGATTACTAAATTGCTCCAGTTAGTAAAGCTGGGCAATTGACAGAGATTCAAAGAAGACTTCTTGAGACTGTCCAAGTGGGAGAAGAAATATCACATTACTTATGTCATAGATATGTGCTTAGTCACTCAGTCATGTCAAACTCTTTGCAACCCCATGGACTGTAGCCCACCAGGCTCCTCTGTCCATGGGGACTCTCCAGGCAAGAATACTGGGGTGGGTTGCCATGCCCTGCTCCAGGAGATCTTCCCAACCCAGGGATCAAACCCAGGTCTCCCGCACTGTGGGTGGATTCTTTACCATCTCAGCCACCAGAGAAGCCCAAGAACACTGGAGTGGGTAGCCCTCTGCAGGGGAACTTAACAACCCGGGAATCGAACTGGGGTCTCCTGCATTGCAGGCGGATTCTTTACCAGCTGAGCTACACAGGAAGCCCTTTTTATCATAGATAATTCCAAGGTTTCTTTGTGAGGTCAAAAAATCTAGAACCTACATACAAATGAAGGTCTTGTTATCAAGGATTTGAGATTCATTACATTTTTCCCTGTCAGGCTATTACTTCCTAAAGGCCAGAAAACATTGGACATCATCAGGTAATTATATGAAGCAAAGCAGAAAACATTATAGTATTTCTAGTTTTTAGTCTCAAGTATATGGAAATAAATAGCTTAGAGCAGGACTTCAAAAATCATTAGCAAGTGACTTCTGTGAACACCTTGCATTCATCATCTTCCTTATGGTTGCAGTAGGCCTATGGAATCCTTTTAGGGCACATGCCCCAATTCCTTTTTTTTTTTTTTTAGGGTAAATACCATATAGAACGAATGACTTGCATAAAACAACAGCTAGGAAACCAATGTTGAACTAAATCCCATTTCCTCTAGTTCCTCCAGTTCTGATCCAGTGATTTATCTGTGATCTGAAATAGGATGATGCTATATAATGTAACTGAGATCCATAAATTCTTGAATGGCATTTTCAGCAAATTCCAACTAAAAACGAGGCTTCTCCCTTTGAAATACTTCAGGTCAGTTTAGAAAAATTAATACGGGGAAAATGAATACTCTTCATATTGGGAGAAGCTAGCTGAGGATTTTTATTAATCATCTGTGTACACATAAATGTGTATTGACATGATGCTTGTGGCACCAGAATTAGAAGAATGAATAAAATTTGGCTTCTGAAACTTTTGGAATTAGTCTAAACAGTGATATATGTAAGACATGTAAATTAAATTTTGAAAAGATTGGCAAATTCATGAGAATGTGGGCTGTCTCAATGTAATTTCTCACAATAGTCAAATGAGGTAGCTTTTAATATTATCTCCATCTTATAAGGAGTGATATCAAGGCTTGGAGATATTAAATAATTTTTCCAAAAGTACTGATAAACTTCACTAAGGCAAGATTTAAATGATGTAATTAAACTGCTTGTTAAAAGAAACTGGAAGAAAGCTCTTATCCTCAAGTTTAATGTTAGAACAGCCAGTTTTTCAGTATGACATTTGCCTTACACTTGCTCTTAAAAAAATAAATCGGAAGAGTAAACCATAGCTTTTGATTAAGCAGAGACCTACAATGATCCCATGTAAGAATATTCCTCCTTTCTAGCCATATATATATGTATATATATAAGTATGAAGTCATCTGGAGCATCTGGCTCTTGCTGGGCTCCATAAAAAAGGTTCCAAACTGATGACATGTGAATGATTCTCTTCCTCCTCCTGCTGTGAGGAGTCACACCTCCTCTCCAGAGAGGATACGCTGTCAGGAACAACTGCTTCAACACTGCTATTTTTGTGGTAGATTTTAAACCAGCTGGCCAGATCCCATATCCATTTACTGATAACTCATGAACTGTTCGGTAATTTACAGATTGTTCTAGATGCTACCAGTGCTGGTCACATGTTTAAAGACAAAAACAAAACAAGAACTGACCCAAGAAAAGACCCATTTCCTCAGAACTTCTACAAATATATTCATTCAAAAATTGTTAAACAATTATTATGTTCCACACTGCTAGACAGCTGTGGAGGAGAGTGCGGTATAGAAATTATGGCATCTGCAATCTAGTAAACCTTTCCCCAGGCATCTGCAATCTAGTAAAACAGAAAATTGCATCAAGAATCACAGCCGCTGTGTTAAGTACCATAAGCCTGCTAGGGAGTTATAAGAATGTGGACCTACTAAAACTCGGAGAGGGTTGAGAGTTGGCTTCCTGAAGGAGCTAACTTTATGACTGTCATTAAGGATTGTACAAATTCTGATGGGAGGAGAGAAATGAGATGGTGGTTCCAAAAAGAGAAAAAGCTCAGAGGCATTAAAGCATGGCTTGTTTGAGAAGCACTAATTAGTTAAGCATGGCAACACAGAGTGCTTTTCAGAAAATGATGAGAGATAAGTAGAAAAGAATTTTGAATCAACCTAAACGTTTGCCTCAGGATTATAGAGGCAAATATCTTTGGTTCAAATGACACTGGAGATCCCATATTTCTGACCTTTCTTTCAAAAAAAAAAAATGTACTCATTTTTTCTTTGATTTCTAAAATAAAGGAATATAAAATAATTTTATTTTTCTTATAGTTTCTGAGGAAGACAAAGGATTTGGACCAATTTTTGAAGAACAACCAATCAATACCATTTATCCAGAGGAGTCACCGGAAGGAAAAGTTTCGCTAAACTGCAGGGCACGAGCCAGCCCTTTCCCAGTTTACAAGTAACGTACCTCATTGCTCTTTACAGAATGAAGTGTTGGACTAAAATTACAGATCAGCATCTGTGATCCTGTATCTATAGAGAAAGCTATGACCTAAAGCTTTCTATGCAATCTTGGGTCATTATCAAAAATATTGTCATACAGCTAATTTTTAAAAAGTTGTTTAATACTGAAATAGTTTTCTTAAACATATGCATATAATTCACTTCCTATTTCCTGCACAGAGAATGCCAGTACCATTTCACATTACCACTTAAAAATTGGCTAATGGAGGTCATACTATTAAGTAAGAAAATGGTTACATGAAAAATATGCAGAATTTAAATATATGCACTTGAGGATAAACTGTTTTTGTATTTATTGGCCTGCTGCTGCTAAGTCATTTCAGTTGTGTCTGACTCTGTGTGACCCCATAGATGGCAGCCCACCAGGCTCCTCTGTCCCTGGGATTCTCCAGGCAAGAACATTGGAGTGGGTTGCCATTTCCTTCTCCAATGCATGCATGCATGCTAAGTCGCTTCAGTCATGTCCAACTCAGTGCTACCTCATGGATAGCAGCCCACCAGGCTCCTCTGTCCACAGGATTCTCTAGGCAAGAGTGGGTTGCCATTTCCTTCTCCATATATTGGCCTAGATAACTCATATATACAGGTGACAGATAATAGTCTATATTAATCACATTTAAAGAGCATATTACATAGATAATTCTAGAAAACACCATTTCAGTAGTTTCAAATCTATATTCCAGACAACAAAACAAATCCCTTAAACGACTTTACCTATCAGACAATCTATATATCTCTTCATGTTTTTTCTGAAGTACCTATTAACACCATCAAAAATAAATTTATAAAAAGTAGCAGTCAGTTTTCTTGCTTCAGAGTGTTCAGAAAAATATACTAACAGTTTCTGGTCTGACATAAAGAATAAGATTTTAAAATTAACCAAATGCCAATGGATTTTGGTCCCATGAAGACAAAGCAAGTGATTGAAAGGGAAATTGGGGCTCTCATGTGTTCATATCACCAGAGTTAATTGAAGGTTGTCATTCAACAAAGTTGATTTTAGTAGTAGATTTTTCTTTTCATGGATAGAAAAACAACTTTTCATTGCTATTAAAAAGTTATTATGAAGAATACCCATCCCTTTCATTTCATTATACTTGAACTCATTTCCTCTTGTCTCTAGCTATAATTGCAAAACTTTTCTTAAAATATAAATTTATATGCAAAATCACCATCTTGGAGTGCAATATAAGAGGATATTTTATATATTATATAAATAGCATATTTGTTCTGAAAATATTTGATGGGCTAGATTTATTTCTACCCTTAAGTCGTTCACGATGGGAGTTTACATACATAACCTTGGACTTGGCATAGTATAACTAATGACAGGCTCTAGAGAAGCACAGAATTTTGCATCAAGTATAGCATTTTATAGGAAGGGAAGCTGTGTCCTATATAAGTAAATTGACTTGCTCCAGAACTAGTAAATCACAGATCTAAGACTGAAACACAGGTTTCATGACTTTGAAGGAAACATATAATTTTTTTTAAGTATTCATCTATCTAGACAGGTTGATAGTATTTCAAAAGCTATTTCAGTGATGGTTATTCTGTGATTCTCTTTCCTTGACGTTCATACACATGGAACCTAAGCAAATCAGGTTCCAGGCTCCCGTGGAGAATAATAGAACAAAGAGGTTGTTCTCAGATAGGGTCTAAGAACGTGTGCTTCTCTTTGCTGCCCTGCTGCTACCATAGAGACTGTAAGAAGCCAAGTTTTACATCACTAAAATTGTGTACATATTAACACCCCCTTACATCTGCCTCCCTCCAGTCCCATTTAGTTTTCTTACCACAATTTAAAAAATAACAATAAGAAGCAAAACTTTGCTTGGCAAATGTATCACCAACTTCCTCCCACAGACTGCATATGCATTTAAGTCCCCAGGGCAAGTATGCCTTTATTATCTATACAGTAATGTAGAAAACTGATGGGAAGAAGTAGATGTTTAATTGTTGTGAAGATGGTCTGCATTTGAAAGCAAAGAAAAATTTATTCAGCTCATGATGTATCTTGTCTGACAAAAGAACACTTGCCATGATGAAAATTTACTTAATATTCAAAGAAAACCATACTAACCTTGGTAATCATGCAATTTGTCATTCACATAGCACTTTTATATTTATGGTATGTTCTGTGATAATTTGTTATTCATCGCAACAGCATGAAAGATAAAACAGGGAACTTTTTTACTTATCAGTCTTGAGACTTTCACTATCTTGCCCTGTCTCCTACAATAACAAGAACTCTAATAAAGATTGTATTTAAGGCTGTGTGAAAGGGATTATAACAATGGTGAATATTCCAAAAATTAAATAGATGAGTGAACTTACCTAATCACAGCAAAATTTATCATTAAATGACATCAAGAGCAGAATCAGACCTACTGGGAAGGAGTTAAAACAAGAAATAAAAACTTGGAGTGAACATAATGGGGAGAAATTTATATTGATGTCTTATGTTTTGATATAACTAGTGCCTCGCAAGGGAAACCACTGCCTTGGCAAATGCTAAGTGACTCGACATTGGATGGTTCAGGCAGGGACAATTTTGCCATCAGCTAGGATGAAGGGGATGATTTATTCATAGGGCTGATATTTGGTAGGTTTTGAAAAGCAAAGCATGATTTTCTGTGTTTGCTTTTAAATTACTTCCAACACTGTAAAAATTAAAACTAAAAATGTTCTAGTAACTTGATTTATTAAAAATATTATAAAATTATTAGGGCTTTCTGGCAAGATGCTCACCCTAATCAGAATTCTTCAGCCAGGACATGAATGATGGGGCCACAGCCCACTGGTTGACATAGCTCTTATCTTAGAACACTGCAGAAGACATGAAACCTTAACCCTAATAGAGAATGATTATAAAATTATGCAGGTGGTCAGCTTAATTGAAAACTATTTTATATATGCAATCCTCTCATCATCTCACCATGAAAGTTTCCTAATTCTAGTTAGATTCTAGATTTCTGTTTCTAGTTAGTTTATTCACCATCACCATCAGTCTACCTGCAATAATGTATCTGTGGCCTGGAACCAAGGCCCAGTTGACTTTAGCCATTTTCAAATGGTGTGATCGACCTCTAGTGGTCAGAATATGACCTTAACTGAGTAAAACCTTGATTTCTATTGGTTTGTTTTATTCAAAATGAAGTTTTATTCCAAAATGACTTTGCTATTGATATCTTATATTTTGATATCTTATATCTTGTACTTTGATATCTTGATTGATATATTTTATTTCTACTACAGTAATATTTTAAATATTTATATAACATTTATTTATTCATGAATCTAACTACTGCATAAATGGTTATCATTTATGATCCATGTATATCTGCTAAGAAACCAGTTTATGTAGCAAAATTCAATGAAATATTTGTCTTTTGGAATGCCTCATGCTAAAAAAGGAAATATTTCATATACTTGAACATTTACCTTTCTGTGCCTGAACTAAATTATAAATCATGAGCCCAGAGACATGGAATTATAGAATAAGAAGAAATACCACTCTGAGTCAACTGCTTAATCATCTTCTTTCATATGGAGCTGTACTCATATTATTTTAGAACAGTGTTATCCCAGTATACTGATTTCAGTCCTCTTGACCTTTGATATGGCATTTACTTATTTTTTCATAGATGGAGAATGAATAATGGGGATATCGATCTGACAAGTGATCGGTACAGTATGGTAGGAGGAAACCTTGTTATCAACAATCCAGACAAACAGAAAGATGCTGGAATATATTACTGTTTAGCGTCAAATAACTATGGGATGGTCAGAAGCACTGAAGCAACCCTGAGTTTTGGATGTAAGTAATTGTGACTTTAAAATGGGTATGTGCATTTAGGTGAAGAAAAATTTACACATTATCAGAAGAATTAAGCAAAAAAAGAGAAATCGAGGAGAAAGAAAAGTGAGAGAAAGACTTATAGTTGAGGTGGGTTTTACAAGATTAGTGGGCCTTAATTGTGTGGAGAAGAAAAACAATTCCAAGAGAGTGAAGTGTTATGAGGAGTATTATGAATGTACTTAAAGTAGTGAAAGATAACAGTGGAAAATAAACTAAGGTCAACGTTAAGAAAGATCTTGAATAAGTTTCTAAAAATTACTCTCCATGGAAATGCTGAGCTTTGGATTCTCACTGGGGACGATATTGTTCCCAAGGTAGTGAAAATCTGTTTTTGGAGGGAGGGAACCATCTTATATATTACAACATAATGGTCTTATTCCTTAGTATTTAATTTTTCTTGTTAGGAATGAATTAAATGTTAGCTGATTTAAGTTTAAATTAAATAAAATGTCTCCTTTTAGGGACAATAATAATGAAAATACTTTGAGAAACATTGTGCTAAACTAAAAGTTAGAGGTTATTATGAAAGAAAAATGTGTATTGGGAGAGGAGTTAGACTAGATGTTCTCCATACATGATTTTATGTCAGCACTTAAATATTTGGCAAAATGAGTTACAGGATGAAAATGACATTTTAAAAGGACCAGAGTGGTAGTGATTACCAGAAGGGAGTGAGACAAAATCGGCAAGTGCAGTCAGATTAAATTCATGTGGTGACAGTGAGAGTGCCAATGATAAACTCAGTGCTTGAAGAAATATACAACAGATTCACCGAAGGAAAAAGACCTTGAATATTTTCTTAAGGAAAGTCTAGTCAAAGGGCAGAAACATTTTGCTCTCTTTAAAATGGAATGGGAGCAATTCAGACCAATTTCAAGGATAAAAGGAAGCATTTCAATGGTCTCTTCACATTTAGAGGAGACGTTGTTATCCCCAGTGAGATAGACCCCAACTAAGTTTTAGAATAGGAATGGCATTCCAGGGAGGCATCAGGACAGGAAAAGTAGATTTGAAGGGTTCTTTGCAAAAAGGTAATTATCGGAATGATAATTTTTCAGAGACGTAAACATATTAAGAGAATTAAAAACTAGATTTCATAATTTGAGTACTGATCACAGCATATTAAAAAGCAGAAACATTACTTTGCTGACAAAGGTCCATTTAGTCAGAGCTTTCTAGTCTTTCTAGTAGTCATTTGGGAGTTGGACCATAAAGAAGGCTAAGTGCCAAAGGATTGATGTTTTCAAATTGTGGTTCTGGGGAAGACCCTTGAGTGTCCCTTGGACAGCAAGGAGATCAAACCAGTCAACCCTAAAGGAAATGAACCCTGAATATTCATTAGAAGGACTGATCCTGAAGCTGAAGCTTCAATCCTTTGGCCACCTGATGTGGAGAGCACTGGAAAGGACAGTGATGCTGAGAAAGATTAAGGGAAAGAGGAGAAGGGGGCTACAGAGGATGAGAAGGTCAGATGCCATCACCAACTCAATGGACATGAGTTTGAGCAAACTCTGGGAGATAGTGAAGGACAGGGAAGCCTGGTGTGCTACAGTCCATGGGGTCGCAGAGAGTCGGACGTGACTTAGTGACCCAACACCAGCTGATCACACGTAAGGAACTGGAGATCAGACAAGGCTGAAACAGAATGAGAACCAGTAACACAAATGAAGAATCAGATAGTAGGCTATCAAAGAAACCAAGCAAAATGTGAGTTCCAAATACACAGAACAGAGTGAAGGAAATAAAAACTGAGGAAAATCCAAAATTTGAAGGTCAAGATTATTGACCTTCACGTTCCTCAGCTCGGATTCTGCTCTTCATCCTTCCTCCTTCTCCCCACTGGAGTCTTCCCTCAGACTTTCTCTGGTAAAGCCCTGGGTTTGTCTATGCACATTGTATTTCCGGATACTCTTACAGAGGTTCTTCCTAATCGGAAGCAAAGTTTAGAAAATGCACAGACTTCTGGGTTGTCACAACAGTTACACAGATGCTGCCAACATCCGTATTCTTCTATAATGTGTACACATTCCAGCATCTGAAAAGGCTGGAATAAGCTTTTGATAAGCTTCATCAAACCAACAGAGAAATATTGTATCTAAAAGTGAATTAGTAGCTGAAAAAGAAACTTTAATGAGTATTAATTTTTCTATTGCCCAGAGAATGAATGTTTTCCTTCTTGCTTTCACAATTAGATCTTGATCCTTTCCCACCGGAGGAACGTCCTGAGGTCAGAGTGAAAGAAGGGAAAGGAATGGTGCTGCTCTGTGACCCTCCGTACCATTTCCCAGGTAAACTCAGCTCTTCTATGATTATGAGCATCTAGGAAATGAAGTGGGAACACTTTTATTGCTTAATGATATTGGAGCATTTATAATTAACACTCAGTATTTTTAAAAGCTTATAATACATCACTAACTAGAGCTTATAGATGCTTGCTTTTTTGATTCTTTAAACAGTTGTCTCTAATTCAAAAGGTCTATGATCATTTCAGCTTATAAATGACATGTATGTTGGATTATGTTCCTATTAAAGTCCTGTTACACTGGAGAAAATATGGTAGATTTTCTACAAATAATTCCTGTAATTGAATAGTACCAAGGAGGAAGTAATCCATTATTTTATTAATAATTTGGCATCTAAAATATACTAGGAACTCTAATTAAACACCAGAAAGAAAGAGACGTAATAAATTATTAATCTCTTTAGGAATTCTAATCCACAAACAAAATGTGAGTTCCAAATACATATAATAGAGAAAATAAAAGTGGAGGAAAATCCAAAATTGGGTAAAGAGCAAGATTATTGACTTTCATGTTCTGAAGGATTCTACCCTTCATCCTTTTTCCTTCTCCACACTGGAGTCCTCCCTCAGATTTCCTCTGGAAAAGCCCTGGGTTTGTCTGTGCACATTGTATTTCCAGATACTCTTATAAAGATTCTTCCTAAATCTGAAGCAAAGTTTAAGAAATGCACAGTCTTCAGAATTGTCACAGCAGGTACACGGGTGATGCCAGTGTATACCTGTACACAATAAAGGGGCTAAACTGAAGTTCATCTGTTACGAGAGTGGAATACATGTTTTCAGTAATTTGATATGGCTAAAATGAAAGCTACAAAACCATTGATTAAAAGATGAACAGTGCATATATAATATTTTCACTCATTTCATTTATCAAACATGTTCTTCAAACAATATATTTATGCCACTTTTCTCTCATAAAAAAGTATTCTGGGTTCTTATAGTTTTAATCTTATGTCATAAAGTTGTCTTTAAACATCTCTATATAGAATGATTCATAGCAGACTATTATAAATCTGGAATATATTAATATGGAATATATATACATATACATATATACTATTCTGATTACATATAGATAATAAACTGTTTTTATCAAATGTTGATTTTTTTTTCTTATAACTGTGGGAGAAAGATAATTAATTGATATACATAGGAGACGCAGTAGACATGAATCTGAGCAAACTCCGGGAGACGACAGCGGACAGAAGAGCCTGACATGCTGCAGTCCATGGGGTCGCAAAGAGTCTGACATGACTTAGTGGCTGAACAACAAAAGGAGAAATTTATGAATTCAAATGTTGTAAAAAATTTTTCAATGAAGGACTGGTCTTTTTTTTTTTAAAGAACTGACAAAGTTATGAAAAAAAAATCCCCTCATGTTCAGAGTGTTTCCCACAAACCATTGTCATCTGCTTTGAGTGAGATTTTCATTAAAGGGCTTTGAGCAGAGGAATCACAGGACATCACTTAAGTTATAGAAAGGCAAATCTGGTTACTGTTGTAAGAAGAGACTCAGCAGAGTGTTAAGTGTAACCAGGAGCTCAGTTAAAGATACTGCCATCATGTAGGCAGTGAATGACGGGCCAGAGCAAGGGAACTGGAGGTAGGAAGAAGTAGTTAAATTCAAGGTATATTTTGAAGGAAGAGGTAAAAGTACAGGCTGGTGGACTTTATATGTGAGATATAAGAGAAACACAGGAGTCAAGATGGCATCAAAGTATTTGTCATAAGCTCTGGAGAGAATGGAATTGTCTGGAAGAATAGGTGTGGATGTAAGAGTGAGGTGCCTAGTTTAAAGTTCCAGAAAGAGTTGTTCAGTTGGCAGTTCTATGAATGTGGAACCCAGGGGCAACATCTGAGGTAGGAGTATCAGTTTGTGATATAGCATTATATAAATTGTTTTCAAAGTCATAGGACTGCATGTGATTACCTAGGGAAGTAGTATAGGTAGATATATGGGGAATGGTTCAAGGAACACAAGCTATGGGATTTTTCTGAGATGAGTCTTGTTTTCAAGCCTCTGTGGCATCTTTACAACTTCGTTGACTTGAGAATTTCACGGACCAAGACTAAGATTGGTAGAAGCTTCAGATCATTAAGCCAAATGAGTGTATTACCTCTTTATCCTGATAAAGATACAAATGTTTATATGGGTAGGGGCAGGACTTATTCTTTTGAATAAGCCAAAGAAACATCATTAATCACAGAATAGAACCTGAACAACTCTTCATATCCACTTGTGTTCTTAGTGGATTATGACCTCTTTGAACATTAGACATGACACCTTCAAATATAAGAATGGACATATGCTTCAAGACCGTAGTGTGTATACCCATGTGTACTGTTTTACCATTTCCATGTCATAAATCTATCTTTCCACTATATAGAGTTAAGATTTTGTATACTGCAGTTAATATTTCATGGAATTGAAGGTATAAACGAACCTTCCTTTGGATTCTGAACCTCAAAGAACATTATATATGCAACTATTTATAGTAGTCAGATCTTGTTGGCTCTATTTGGTGACCTGATAACCTAAAGTTTATTCCTTACTAAGTCAAGTTAACTTAGCCATAACTACATCTCAGTTTGCTTGTTTAAATTTGGGAATAATAATTCTTGTGACACCTACTTCACAGACCTTGTCATGAGACTCAAATTTAATGTTTTTAAATTATAAAATGGATATTTAATTTAAAAGGATTATTATTAAAGTAAATAAAATGTATTTAGTACATTTGGTGTTATATTTTGAATCATTAAAACAAATAAAGTACATCTCACTTCACTAAGAATTTTTTTATTCGTGACTATTGAATTCATCTCTGATTTATGCACAGGAAAAAGATTTAGGGGACAATCTCATCATTTACAATCACTACATTTTTCTATGGATTTGGGTGTTCTACAATTTCTTGCAAAGAGGAAAACTCTTATTTGAACCAGTTTGTTTATTTATTAGGAATATTTATACATAACTATATCAGTAAAAGTGTTAATTCAATTTTATAACAACACTAGATATGCAACGGATTGCCTAGTGCCTAGCACGGGATATGTGTCCAACAAATATTTGAGGAATGAGAAAGTAAAAGAGTAAATAAATGTATTCATTAAATTGATAGATACATAGTGATTACAATTTTAGCAAAAGATAAATTTTCCTGTTTAGATCTTGTTTTACTAAATAGAAGCATTAACTCATTAATGTGTAAGACCTTCTAAACCCCTGAATCCTCAGAAAATGGAAACATGATTCTTTGATTCCAACTAATTTTCAGAACCATCAGAAACTGAGTTACACACCTCACAGAATAGAAATCGTATATGTGCATATTCAGTAAGTGAGTGAAGTCGCTCAGTCGTGTCTGACTCTTTGCGACCATGGGGACTGTAGCCTACCAGGCTCCTCTGTCCATGGGATTCTCCAGGCAAAAGTACTGGAGTGGGTTGCCATTTAAGAGAATAAAAAAAAAAAAAAGCCCATCATTTGAAGAGTGAGTACTATTGAGAAAATACAGGATATCTAATAATAGACGTGCTGTGGATTTTTAAATAAATAAGAAAGTGGGAATACTCTTAAGAGAAAAAGCTCATTAAATGTTGAATATGATATTGAATGAATCTCAATAGACTAGAAAGGTAAACATAAAAATAGACAAGCATGCTAGAGGTTACTAGGGAATATATGAGTCTACAGTGTAACCTGGTATAAATTTCTTTCTAAAAGAGTTTAATATATAGTTTACTATATGTGTCAAAGAAAAGTTAGAAGCTATTGTGATTTTATTGGTATAGGTAAATTCTGTTATAATGAGGTTAATTAACAACAACAACAACAAAAATACAAACAACTTCAGAAATGTTTGTGGACAGAGAGAACACTTAAGTACTTCAAATATATTTCAAGGAGAAATATAAAACTATTTACCAAGCTTGGGTAAGTGGTATATTTCAAAGTAATACAATGAAATTGATCAAATGCACTATAATTGGCCAAAACAAATCCTGCCTATAATATGGTCCAGACTCTCTTGAGGCAAAGAAAAAAAAATCGCAGACACCCATCAATAAAAGCAATGTTTTTGAAACAGTCCTGGTGTTTACTCTTACTAAAAAATAATTTTATAATAATTTATTGTTTAAGCCAGACAGCAAGGCTATGAGGAAAATAGGTGCTGACTTCTTCAGAGATGGTTAATTTTACCATTTGCAGGAAATAAGGGAAGGCAGATAATCCACTGAATGCCTGTGAGAACTGGTCAGAGTTTGGCTCTTGATTACCTAAATTAAGCTTTATTCTTAAGTCGGATCAGCAGGGCAGCTACCACACCAATTGTGGAACAGTTTCGGTAGTTCTGTGGTGGTAAAGGAAGTTAGATCAGTTCTGCCTTCCCATTGCTAAATGAGAGTCCTTTGGACTGCAAGGAGATCAAACCAGTCAATCCTGAGGGAAATCAGTCCTGAATATTCATTGAAAGGACTAATGCTGAGGATGAAGCTCCAATACTTTGGCCACCGAAGAACTGACTCATTGGAAAAAGACCCTGATGCTGGGAAAGATCGAAGGCAGGAGGAAAAGGGGATGACAGAGGATGAGATGGTTGGATGGCATCACCAACTTGATAGACATGAGTTTGAGTAAGCTCCGGGGGTTGGTAATGGACAGGGAAGCCTGGCGTGTTGTAGTCCATGGGGTCACAAAGAGTAAGACACAACTGAGTGACTGAACTGAACTGATTATTATACATCCTTGGGCAAGTCAACCTAGCTAAACCTCTGTGTCCTTGTTTTAAAATGACAATAGTGATCCCTAGCTTTGTTTTAGTGAAAAATGATAGCATTCAACATATTGCAATTATTCTTTTGTCCAATCAGATGGCTTATCAGTAGACAAAAATCTATTAAGTAAATTTATATTATTAATATTACAAGTCCCACAAGGGCAATGACCAAATTTGTCTTTAGTGAAACATAGAAGATAACTCAGTAAACTGAAGGGATGGCCCAATTTTGATCCGTTGGTCAGGAAGATCCCATGGAAAATGGGATGGCTACCCACTCCACTATTCTTACCTGGAGAACCCATGGACAGAAGAGCCTGAGAGGCTACAGGCCATGGGGTTGCAAAGAGTTGGACACAACTGAGCGACTAACACTTTCACATTGACTATTTAGGAAAATACACACTGGGCCTTAAATCAGCCAGACCAATTATTCTGTAGTACAAAATTTATGTTTTTACCAACCTCATGGCAATAACTTCTCTGACCTAAATTTTCTCCCTTTAAGATTCAAAGAGTAAAACATTATCCTAAAAAACAAAAAAACAAAACACATTATCCTGTTTCTCTTCTCTAATGAGTAGTACACAGAAAATTTCTTAGAATTTAGAAAAACTGAGTAATATGGTAGTTAAAATAGCCTGATCCAAGTCATATTAATATTTAGTCTAGAATTAAAATGCAGGTCTCCACATTGACATAATTATGGAGTACTCAGAATATTCTGAATTAGTTTTATGTGTGGTATCTTGAAATATTGTATAGCTAAGAAAATTCTTCTGCAAAGAAATCTGTACTTTCCTGACTCTGTCTGATTTTTTTGGAATTTGTGTCCAGAAATCATTACAAACATGTTAACTTTCTTTTTAAGTGAGAATACAAAAATTATTTCAAAACTAGACAAACTCACATGTTAAAATACACTATAAATATTATTTTGGTTCACAGTCTGTTAAAATACATGATAAATGTTATTTCTAAATACTATAAACATAGAATTATTTGTTGCCCAATTCCAGAAACCTGATTTCAGCAATTTAAGCAGCCTCCAAAGTGTCTGCTTATTTTGTTTCTTCTGTGATTTTTACCTGACCTTCTTAAATCAGCATAAGGATAACAATTAATATTAATAGAATCATTCACTTCATGGCAAATAGATGGGGAAACAATGGAAACAGTAAAAGACTTCATTTTCTTGGACTCCAAAAATCACTGCAGAGGGTGACTGCAGCCATGAAATTTAAAAAAAAAAAATGCTTGCTCCTTGGAGGAAAAGTTATGACAAACCTAGTCAGCATATTAAAAAGCAGAGACATTTCTTTGCCAACAAAGGTCCTTATAGTCAAAGCTATGATTTATCCAGTAGTCATGTATGGATGTGAGAGTTGGACCATAAAGAAGGCTGAGCACTGAAGAACTGGTGCTTTTGAACTGTGGTGTTGGGGATGACTTTTGAGAGTCACTTGGACAGAAAGGAGATCAAACCAGTCAATCCTAAAAGAAATCAACCCTGAATATTCATTAGAAGGACTGATGCTGAAGCTGAAACTCCAATACTTTGGCTACCTGATGCAAAGAGTCAACTCATTGGAAAAAACCCTGATGCTGGGAAAGATTGAAGGCAAGAGAAGAAGGGGACAACAGAGGATGAGATGGTTGGATGGCATCACTGACTCAATGGACTTGAGTTTGAGCAAGCTCTAGGAGATGATGAAGGACAGGGAAGCTTGGCATGCTGCAGTTCGTGGGGCCACAAAGATTTGGACATGACTGAGCAACAGCAACAAGAATCACTCACATATATAAAGGTCTAGAAAGATGTATGCTAACAACAAGAATGCTGAGTTGGAGAAATATGATGAATTTAATTTTCTTTCAAATTTAACTTTGTGTTTTTATTTTTTGAAAATAATAAACTTCCGTAATTAAATAGTTAAGATGAAAAAACATAATAATCATCTTCATTCACTTTTATGAGACTGTATATTGCTGGAGAAAATCATAAGCTAATTTAAATGGAATCCCCTGGACTATTATTTTCAATCATACTGGATGTATATAGTATGCAATTCTTTTAGTTTTTATATTCAGCTCTTTTTCATGCTCCATTTAGCAGCTTTACCAGTCGATCACCTTGAGTTCCATAAAGCAAAATGGTGTCAGGTCATGATTATTTCATTTTTAAAATATCTTGATTTTCTACCATCTTGCATCTAAATCTTTTCTAACTTGAACTAAGAGTTCTTTTTCTGAGAATATCTTTTTTTTATTCCCCGAAGGTATTTTTCCCCCCTTAGGGTATCTCCCTAGTGACAGTTGTCTTCACATGGTTATAATGTTTTAAAGGGGATTAGGATTTTGAAACTGAGAAATATGTATCACCCAGAGTTCCCTCTCGTCCATTACTGCTGTGCATGACTACTGGAGTGTCATCCCTCAAAACATAAAGGGAGATCTGAATGGAAAACTGTGGGGAAAGCAGCAATTTAATAAGGAAATTCAACTTTTGGCCTAACCAGCCAGTATGCTTAGCCAAAGGAATTTACTACAGTTAAAAGTTACCATATGATCTGCTTCCTAATATTTAAGAAAACTAGTAAAATGCCTTTTTCCTTTTCTGTAGTTTTTACTTTTTAATGTGGCCAGAATAGGCTGCAATAAACTCATTTCTAAATCTGTCATGTACAATAGGAGTATAAAAATAAAAAGATATAAAGCCACAGTATAGCTGATTTTATCTTTTAAATGCAGTAGAGAAGATGTGATTTGAAACTCTTAGACCTGGATTCAGAATCCTAATTCTACTTAGTCATGAAATTCTAAGCAAGTCATTTAAACTGAGTTGCATTTAGCCCATAATTAATTAAAAGAATATTAGTAATTCATGAATAATTGAGAAATAGATATTATTATTTAGCATCACTTTATATTCAAACTACAGTAGCTTTTAGAAAATTTGTGCTGTTTATCTTGACCTACTTCCAACATTTACTCTACAAAAGCCTAGATTAGATTATGTGCTAGCTTATTTCTAGAAAACAAGACTTTTCCTTTTGGAGAAGAGCTTAAAACTGAGTCAATAGTATTTTAAAAGCCTTGATTTGGTTATGAATTAGCTTACTACTAGAAAACAAAATCTTTGCTTTTGGAGAGAGTTTAATACTTAGTCAACAATATTTTCTTCTAGATGATCTTAGCTACCGCTGGCTTCTAAATGAATTTCCTGTATTTATCACAATGGATAAACGAAGATTTGTGTCTCAGACAAATGGCAATCTCTACATTGCTAATGTTGAGGCATCCGACAAAGGCAACTATTCTTGCTTTGTATCCAGTCCCTCTATTACAAAGAGTGTGTTCAGCAAATTTATCCCACTCATTCCACTACCTGAACGTAAGTTATATTTGTTCCTCTGTTTTGTAAGGTTGTCTACTTATGGCATACTTATAATAATGAAAAGAAATATCCAGTGGGCAAACCAGCTGACTGCTTCACCAGGACAGAGGACATATACTTTGAAAGTCTTGGTTTTTCCTTAGATTTTTCATCTAGAGAAGATTTACATCATTAAGTGTCCTAAGGTAGTTGAGTTTGGATTGGTTGCCTCCAGTTCAGTGAATGTATAGAAACCCAATTGATTTACTAGCAAAATGCCAATATATTGGTTATAAATGGGAATCACCACCATCTGTTTTTTGTTTCATGATCAGTCCTACTTCATAGTCAATTCATGAAGGTGAATGAATGATTATATCAAAACAAGCTGCAGTGATTACAGAATTAGGGTGGAAGGAAAAGCAATCAGATCATTTTTTATTTTTAAGGAATTATTTACGTGAAGCAAATAAGTATATAAATTGCCTATCTATTGTAAATAGTATTAAAATAGTGTAATAGGGTACTGTGGTACCATATTGAATGACAGTTAAGAGTTAACACCCTCTTAACTGGCCTTTCCTCAGGCTTCAGTTGAATGAACTGAATTTCATTTTTTAATGCACCACTTCCTGCGAAAATCAGAATACAATATGTTTTCTTACTTCAGGTTATTTTTATCTCAGTCCTGCTGCAACACTCATATCACTGAATTCAAGCTTCTGAGGAAATATTGGTTCTGTTGTTGGCAGAATTAAATTTGGGTCTTACCTCTAAGTTTTGTATAATAATGGTTGCATGTCTATCATCTCACAGACATTCTATTTTATTATTATTTTCAAGATAGCAGTCACATGGTTAGTATTCAATAAACATCTTCTTATTATCTGGCTTTTTCCCCCCTCTCAAATCTTAGGAAATACTCACCACTACTTCACGGAGTGAAAAGGAACCATCATGTGAAAACTTCCCTCATTTTCTTCCCTCAAAATTCAGTGCTTCTTACTTTCTTTCTCAGTGGAAAAAGTGTTTTTCCCGGAAATACTCACCACTACTTCACGGAGTGAAAAGGAACCATCATGTGAAAACTTCCCTCATTTTCTTCCCTCAAAATTCAGTGCTTCTTACTTTCTTTCTCAGTGGAAAAAGTGTTTTTCCTGCTGCTCAAGCTAATTGCTCCAGCTGCTCTCATTCACATTCCATTTGTTTCAATTAAGGATGTCATTGCATCACTCTTTCTTTTCTAAATCTTCAAACTCTCCTCCATTTGTTTCCCTCTGCATATTCTTTTGTATTCAATGCAGTCTTGAGTAATCAAAACCACTTTTTGTTTTTTTTTTTTTTTTACAATATGTTTATTTTTTTTTTTCCATTGTTGAAAATAGTTCATTTTTTTTTTTTTTCTTTTACATGTATTCCCCATCCCGGTCCCCCCTCCCACCTCCCTCTCCACCCAATCCCTCTGGGTCTTCCCAGTGCACCAGGCCCGAGCACTTGTCTCATGCACCCAACCTGGGCTGGTGAACTGTTTCACCCTAGATAATATACGTGTTTCAATGCTGTTCTCTTGAAACATCCCACCCTCGCCTTCTCCCAGAGTCCACAAGTCTGTTCTATACATAGGAGTCTCTTTTTCTGTTTTGCACATAGGGTTATCGTTACCATCTTTCTAAATTCCATATATATGTGTTAGTATACTGTAATGGTCTTTATCTTTCTGGCTTACTTCGCTCTGTATAATGGGCTCCAGTTTCATCCATCTCATTAGAACTGATTCAAATGAATTCTTTTTAATGGCTGAGTAATATTCCATGGTGTATATGTACCACAGCTTCCTCATCCATTCGTCTGCTGATGGGCATCTAGGTTGCTTCCATGTCCTGGCTATTATAAACAGTGCTGCGATGAACATTGGGGTGCACGTGTCTCTTTCAGATCTGGTTTCCTCGGTGTGTATGCCCAGAAGTGGGATTGCTGGGTCATATGGCAGTTCTATTTCCAGCTTTTTAAGGTACTGGCACAAAGACAGAAATATAGATCAATGGAACAGAATAGAAAGCCCAGAGATAAATCCACGAACCTATGGTCACCTTATCTTTGACAAAGGAGGCAAGGATATACAATGGAAAAAAGACAACCTCTTTAACAAGTGGTGCTGGGAAAACTGGTCAAAACCACTTTTTGGATTTGCTAAATCCAAAGGACATTTTCAGGTCTGATTCTGTATGAAATTTGACCTGTATTGATCTCTTCTGCCTCTCTTGAAATCTCCTTTCTTTTCCTATTTTTTTTTAATGACTATTTTTGCCTCTGCTTATTTCCCAGGTGTCTCGGTGACAAACTCTATGCGTATCCTTCATCAGATCTTTCTCATTCTAATATTTCTTTCCAATCTTTTTCTAGATAGTCTCATTCATTCACACCTTTATTTCACTAGAGGCCCTATGTGCTGACTCTAGATTCAGTTATCCCTAATCCTTTTTCCTAGACTTTTCCCTAATCCTACCTACATCCTGGGCTTGACACACAGAAGCTTCTCAAAAGTGTTACATTTGAAATATTCCAAACACATCTTTCATCTCCTCTCTAAACCTCCTCTCCTGGTGTTCTTCATCTCATTGAATAATACTATCATATTTCTCACCAGTAACTCAGGAGAGAATTTTAATCATCAGCTCCTTTCCACTGACATCCTGAGGATAGTGAACACAGCAATTCTCACTTAGGACGTAAGCACTTGGGGAGGAAATGTGGAACCCAAAGATAGTGATTCAGCAGACCCAGGATGTGACCCAGGAATCTATAGGTTCAATGAGCATCCCAAATGATTTTAATGAATTGGATTTTTGATCTGTATCTTGAGAAAACATTGATCCAAGGGCAGTTCTTTTGATTCTGGTTCTAAAACACAACTTGGATCTGTGTTTTCCTTTCTGTTCCCACTGTGACTCTGCCCTTGTTCAGGCCCTCACTTAGAGCTCTGACTCTCTGCTATATTTTTCTTCTCCACATTCCTTCCCTTAAAACTGCTAACAAATCTTCTACTTAAACCAAAGGTAAAATTCATATTTTGTCTCTTAACAAACCCTATTAATAGCTAACCATTGAGGAAATTAATCTCAAAATTTTTAATATCAGTTTCAAACCTTCTATATTATAGATTCAAGTTCATCTTCAACTACATACACTTCAATATCATTTTGATTCCTAGACCTTTTATAATTGCCCGCCCACTCCTGAAGTAGTGTCAAAATCTGTGATTTCCTCAACTTGAACTGGTCTGGTTCAAATGTCCTCTTTGCCTGAGATTCCCTCAGCCCTTATATATTTCCAACAATCCTCCTTGGCCACCACTTTTTTAGTGTATTTACTATTGATTTTGTTTATATTTCAGGTCTTTGTGTATCTATTTGTCTTTCAAGTGTTCTACAGTATAAAGTACACACTCATGTTATGATTCTAAGCAGTATATTTAGCCTTTCTGCTCTGCTTGCTAATTTTGGTTTTTCTTAAATTAGGAACAACAAAACCATATCCTGCTGATATTGTAGTTCAGTTCAAGGATGTATATGCATTGATGGGCCAAAACGTGACTTTAGAGTGTTTTGCACTTGGCAAGTGAGTATGCTCACAGATTTCATTAATGTATGTAGAGTTTAAATCTTGTATTGTTAGGAAAAAAATGTTAAAAATATTCAGCTATAAACATAGAGTAAATTACCTTTAAGTGTTGTGGACCATTAGCTCGGTTAATAGCTTGTTATCTTCTATTTAAGTCCTGTTCCTGATATCCGATGGCGAAAAGTCCTAGAACCGATGCCAAGCACAGCTGAGATCAGCACCTCTGGAGCTGTCCTCAAGATCTTCAATATTCAGCTAGAAGATGAAGGCATATATGAATGCGAGGCTGAGAACAATAGAGGAAAGGATAAACACCAGGCAAGAATCTATGTTCAAGGTAGATACATTGTTTTAATTTTCCACACATTTAATCAATATCTTAATTAAAACCATTTTCCCACTTAAAAAAACTAGCATAAAATGATAAAGCTTAAAAATAGTAATGTGTATTACATTGTGAAAAACGATGAAATATTTATCATTATGTCTAGCTAAGTCACAAAAATGAGTAGAGAAGTTAGGAATTTATGCCTCTCGTATTACAGGAACATGAATGGATCAATAGTAGTGTTCTTGATAATTTTGTGAAAATACAATTCATATGGCTTGTTGACTTTCTTCAGACTCTTTTTTATTTGTAAAAGAACCTATGCATTATAAGATAGTTTAAGCCAGTGATTCACAAACTTTACCATGTTTTAAAATCATCTGGAGGGATTTTTTTAAAGACACAAATTGCTGGTTCTCATACTCAAGTGTTTCAGAGTTAGAAGGTCTATTTGGGGTGTGAGAATTTGTATTTATAAAAAATTCTTAGGAGATGTTGATGCTGCTTGTCCAGGAGCCACTCTTAGAGAATCACTGGTCTAAGGAAAGTTTTTCTTTGATACAATTTTTTGATACAAGTATTTAATTGAAATAAGCTTTATTTGGGAGGAGAGAATATAGTTTCTCAGTCAATCCTTAAAACTTTACATCCTGAAATCCTCCCTACAATGTTCTCCAATGTGAAATTTGCAGGTCACACCTGAATAAATATCTAAGGCTTCAATGAGGTCATTCACTGAAAGGATGCATGTACACAGAGTGCATCCTCAGAGGTAGACACAGTAGGAGCCTTCTGCAGAAGAGTTAAATAAAGGAGATATTTTGCCCTTGAGGAGTTCATACTCTAGTCATACCATATAAAAAAACCTCCAAATTTATATAGTCATTCACAGTCAAATAAATATATACCCCTACATGTATATAATTATAAAGAAAATTGTGAGTACAATAGGGGGAATTACATATGATATTTATAAAGCATTTGATAAAGGGGTGACTTAGTCTCATCAAAGGATGAACGATAGGAAAAACTAGGATGATGCCTGAGCTGAACTGAAATACCAGTAAACTAAAGGGTACTGTGGTAGTGTCAAGACCAACACTTACTTCCTACTCCTAGACCCCAGGCCTCTGTCTATACAAGAATGAAGTAAGCGTCTCCAATGATGCAGCACATGTAGCCTCATCACCACCATCTCATAATGTCCACTAGGATTAGGATTATTTTAACTTTCACCTTGTGCATTTCATTTGCCTTAAGAAGCCCTTGGACCCCAGGGCCATCTTATGGGCTACACTTTAATACCCACACAGCTCTGCACCTTTCCTACTCACACTCTATATTCTCTTCATTCCTAACTTCTGAAGTCCTTATAATATGCCTCTAGAACACATAGTCCACCATTATCAGAATCCCCTATATCCGTAACTTCTTTGCACATCCCCTTTAGTCTTTGCTGTAACTGACACTGTTCCTACTGCAGACCGCTCAAGCAGTGGCTGAATTTTCTTTCATAACCTTCAACCCCAGGTGTGACTTGTATACTTGTCCTCCTTGATCTTTATTGCCATTGCTAGACTATCTTTCTCTTCCTTTAATCATCTAGTCTATAATCTTATGTTACCAAAAGTACAATCCCTTTACAAGCTCAAGTTTAAGTGTTTAAACTCTGATCACCACCTTTCAAACTTCAATACCCAGATTCCTACAATCCTTTTAATCTACCAGCAACTATAATCAGTTAGTCTTACTCTGTTTTAACGTCGTCTCACTTTCCCTAACTTGGCCATCTCTTTCCTAAGCCTGGGTTCAATCATTGTCATTTCCCTGCACACCAGCTTAGCTCACTCATCTCTCTCCACTTTGTCTTGCTATTTTGGCAAAGAGTAATACTGGGAAACTCTGGCTCTCTGCCCTAGAGTCAGAACCAAGGAACTTGAATATGACTTGAAATGAGCACTACCAAGTTGATTAGCCTCTGTCTAGTTAAACATCACAGCTTCACTAACTGTAAATAGGCCCTTAATGTTGCCTGGCAGCTAGACTATTTTTCCCCAGATTTACTTACTCTCTCATTTTATTAGATGACCATATCATGCCTTCATGGTTCCCTTTAAACCCACAGTAATTCCTTCTTCAACCTTCCTCTCAGCTAATAACTTGGCTTCCTATTTTACAGAGAAAATAGTAGTAATTAAATTAGAACTCTCACAAACTTCTGTTCTGTTTCTACTAACACTTGTATTTCCAGCCTTATCTCTTTTTATTCTAGACTCAGCTGTTCTCTGAGGACAACACCTCCACTTGTGCACTGGACTCTATCCCTCTTACACAATATATTGAAACATAATTCTTTCAAACCTTAACTATCATTCTGAAAGATTTATAAGATCAGTTATTTTAGTGTTATTTATGAATCAGCTTTCCAACAAAACATGGTTCACAAATAGAAAAACAATTATAAATTGAATTAGAATTACCTTGTCTCTAATAATGTAAAGTTTACCTACAGACCTGTACACAACTTCAATGATTCTATCATTGATTCTAAAACTCAGAGAGTATCTGATGTATTCTCCAGAAGAAAGTCAACTAAGTCTAATATTTGTCATCTTGAGTTGATGATGAATGCTGAGACTTGCATTTGCATTTACAATGTTCTTTACTTTTTAGCATTTCCTGAGTGGGTGGAACACATCAATGACACAGAGGTGGATATAGGCAGTGATCTCTACTGGCCTTGTGTGGCCACAGGGAAGCCCATTCCTACCATCCGATGGCTGAAGAATGGATATTCGGTATGTGTGTTCAAGTGTTTTGCAGTTCTTAAGCCTATGTTCAGGTAACATTTCCTATAATCCCGGGAAAAATTAGCAGGAGTGGCATGTAGGCCCTGAAATATAAAAGTGTCCTTTAAAAAACAACAACAACAACAAAGTGAACATAAAGTGTCTTTTTTCAGCTTAACCAGTTTTCTGTAATCTTATGTCTACCTTCTCTCTCTCCCTCCTTATTGTTTCCTTTGTTCCACTTCCCCCTTCTTCCTTTGATTCCATCTCCACTACCTGATATTGTCCTCTTTTTCTTACCACTGTTTCCCTGACCCCACAGAAACAGAGGTAAGAGTGAAGGTCCTACCTTTAGCCCTGGGGACAAGTAGCAGCAGTGGGGTCCTTCTCTACCTTCCCACTGTAATCTCTCAGCTGAGCCCAGAGGGAAAAGGTGGACTCTCTGCTCTGTAGGACGAATAGAACAAGAGCCACTGGGCGTGGTAAGTGGGTTTTACTTCCCCACACCATGGAAACCCCACTCCACTCGACTTAGTTAATTAACAGTGGGGGAAAAATAATGTACTTAAATTGGAATACAATCAAGCCCAAACCCAAATGAAAGCATTTCTGTTAAAGTTTTTCAAGGAGACATGTTTTACTTTGTGTTCTTTCCAGTATCATAGAGGGGAATTGAGGCTGTATGACGTGACCTTTGAAAATGCTGGCATGTACCAATGCATAGCTGAAAACACACATGGAGCAATTTATGCCAATGCCGAGTTGAAGATCTTGGGTCAGTATCACTTTTTGTTTCTGTCAACAATCAACAAGAAAGCAACACATTAAAAAGTGTCTTGGGTTCTCTGGATTATATTTAATTTCATGTTACTTTCTTGAATTAGAAATTAAGCATTTCTAAAATGTGGTTTGTATTAAAATGGCATTATTTTCCCTTCATTGAAGAATAGTAAATAAATTGGAAGCAATATAGAATATAGAGGCTTTTAAAATGTTTTTAATGGTAAAGCAAACTTTACACATATGAATTTTTATAAGTCTTGGTTTCTCCTATGTCTGGGCAACTAAATACTGCCAGAACCTCACATAGTACGGCTGCACCCTCAGTGCCTGTGAGGCAGCCTCAGGGAGTCTTTGGCACTTAATAGCTTTATCAGTCCCTGGGTTTCATATCCTACAATTGCTATTCAAAACCTTCAGCACATTCCTCGGTCCCCTTACCCTGCACTGAGTTTCTTCTTCATGAAAATTGAAAATCATGGAGATAAAATGTTTCAATTTCCTATCCCTCATTCAAAACTATCTGAATCTTTACTACACTTGTCCTTCAGATACTCTTTATCCAGAGGATGATGTACGTGTCCTCTTGTCCAAAAATAATCCCTTTACATCTCTACTCAACGCACATCCCTTCTCTTTGTGTGTGTATGTGTGTGTGTGAGTGTGTAAATGTGTGTATGCGTATCTCTCAAGATGCTTCTCTTTCTGGTCATGTTTTCCTCTTGAATTCTCCTCTCCTTTATGTTTAGTGACTTGATGCTGATACCTCCTATATTATTTCTTCTTGATCACTTCATTTTCTCCTTTTCGTCCCTTCCTTTGCTCAGTTGGAAATCTTGCTCTCTTCCAGAGTTCCATTCCTCTGGCTGCATTCCATTTTCTTTCTCATTCTTTCACATATTCTATAGTATTATTCCTGAATTATTATTATTTTGAAATTAAAGTTATCCTGGATGATATCTTCTGCTCCCATTAACTGTCAATGATCCCTTAATGTATATCTCTGGGTCAGAGTTTTATCCTCAGCTTCTGTCTCAGTATGAAAAATTTCTTAGCAGAAATGGTCATCTGGGTAAATTCAGAGGTATCCAAAACTTAGCATGTCTGAAATTAAACTCATTATTTCTCATTCATCCACACCTTTTCCTCTTGAAATATTTACTGTTCTAAAGAATGAAACAATCCATTACATTCTTTTCCCCTATTACATCTATTAAATTTCTCATTTTTGCCCTATAAATCTTTCTTAGATTTTTTTACATTCTTATTTTCATTACAACTACCTTAAATAACACCTTACTATATCATGCCTTTTTCATACTACTTGAAGTGGGTATCATTGAGTTTAGTTATATTTTAAGTAATTAATCCAGATGGGCAGGCTTCCTCTTCGGGATATGATTACTGAAAAGATAAAGCAATAACTCAGTGCAGCCTATTTGATTTTTGCTATACCAAAGGGTAGTTCTTTAAAACAGTTGTACCACTACAAATTGAGTGACACTAAAAGAACATGAAAGGCAGTGAAATAATAATAAGAAAGTATCAAAGAAAACTATCTTTTAAAAGAGTTGAGGCCTTCTTAATTTTAACTTTCCCTGATTCTTCTTAAATTTTAAGGATCATATTCCATTTCTTCCCCTTAAAGTCAAAATTCCTTGCTAATATATTCAATCTAGCTTCTTTGGATATCAAGAAGATGTTTAGGCTTAGGCTTCATACTGTATCACTTTAGTGAAAAGTACAAAGAAATCATTTTGACTTTTAGAGAAGATACGAGGTGAGTTTCAATTATTTCCCAAATGTAAACTCTTTTTTTTCTGTTGTAATTTCTTCTTTTTTTAAAAAATTAGTTTATTATTTTTTAATTGGAGGATAATTACTTTACAATATTGTGATGGTTTTTGCAACACATAAACATAAATTGGCATACATGTGTACCCCCCATTCTGAGCCCCCCTCCCACCTCGTTTTCCATCCTATCCCTCTGGGTTTTCCCAGAGCACCAGCTTTGGGTGACTGTAATTGTTATACATTACAAAATGATAAGAAAATGCAACAGTTCAGATTGAAAGATCTTTTTGTCTTCAAGCCTAAAGTCTTCCAATCATTTAATGTCTATTTTTTTTTCATTTAATGTCTATTAATGTAGTAATTAAGCAAAGTGAGCATTTTGAGATTGAGATCAATTCCTGGGCATCTTTATATTTGTTTCAATCTATTTTTTGTTTATTGCCTGTAGAAACAGTGTTTCTCATTCTTCTTTCCTGAGTTATTTAGTTAACTTTTATTTATCTACCAAATGATTATTGAGTACTTTTGCTGTATCATATATTAGTCTATAATAAGCTCAATAAAGAGAAAAGAGAATATACATACATAAATGTGTATATATATATATATATGTATATATACACATATATATGAACATAGTCTAGATTCTGTCACTAGAAATTCAAATATTACATAAGCATGAAGTCATTCTGATGACTGGACAAAAGCAATTATTTTATTAAAACTAAACTGATTCAAGAAAAATTCTCATTTTATAGATGAATTTAGGCTTTTTAAATATAATTCTATTACATTTGCTCTCATTCTACAAACAATATGTTACCCATAATATTTATTGAACCTAGACAGAATACCACATGCTGTGTTAGGTATACTACACAAGTTGGTTGTTTACTTATATATTTATTGCCAATTATAAAACACAAATTAAAAGAATAATGGAATAACCTAAATCTTTTCCATAAGAAATGTGTTCCTCAGAGTATGTTCCTCACTTCCTAGAAGTACTGAGTTTCAGGTTCACCCCAGACCTACTGAGATCTCAGCAGCATTTTACCAAGATCCTCCGATGGTTCTGATGCTCAGATAAAATTTGAGAATCATGGAAGTAGATGATGAAACACCAAGACCTGGATAAAGATAGACTTAGACTTAGAAAAAGCTGTAGAAAGGACAGTTACAGATGACTGGGATATGTGGAAATAGAAGGAATTCCCCCAGAATCTGGGGGAAGATGAAGAGATTGAGAAATGAGCTACATGTGGGGAGACTAAAGAAAGTGAGATATCATTAAGTGATTCTAGGCTCTAACCTGTTTGCACAATTATTATTCTATACTTTGAGGTAAGGAGATGTATCATGTACTCCTCAGTTAATTAAAAATATCATTCCCACAGCTGTTTGTAGATTGGTCTTAAAGCCAGGGGTCTCTGTTTATTAAGGCATCTCATAGTAACTGCACAGAGTTGGTGCTCAATAAATGTTTGTATAATGAAGGAGGAGTCATATAGTTTACTGAAAAGAGCATGCTTGTGAATCAGATGGAACTAGATTCAAATGTAACTCCCACCTGATAACCTTTCCCTGTGGCACCTTTGGCAAGTTACATAATCTTAATAGATGTTAGTTTTCTCACTTGTAAACTAGAGACTGTTCAAAGTGTGGTTAAAGAATACTAATTATAAATATGTGTCAGTATTAATAATGGTGCTCCATTTCCTCCAGCCTCTCACTTAACTTCTGTTGTGCAATTGAGTCAAGAAAATTGAATTAGATATTACCTTAAAAAGTATATAGCATTTGACTGCAACTAAAATTTATAATAATCCAGTTATCACCAAGAATTGCATATTTAAAATGGGCAAGATTTGATAAATAAAATATACCTTAGTGAAGTTATTAAAGCAAAGAAAAACTACTAGTGTCTGTTGGTCATAATGGGTGATATTTGGTGAGAGTGATCCTTTCTGGCTTCCCAGTGGCAGAGCGGTAAAGAATCCACCTGCCAATGCAGGAGACCCAGGTTTGATCCCCTGAAGAAGGAAATGGCAACCCACTCCAGTATTCTTGACTGGGAAACCCCATGGACAGAGAATCCTGGTGGGCTACAGTCCATGGGGTCACAAAAAATCAGACACAATGAGCAACAGCAACAATCCTTTCTATTGATTATTAGTCAAAAGGAAATAAAAAGTGCTATAGAAGATTTTTTTTTTCTTTTTAGCAAAAAAAAGAAAATAACTAGTTCTTTCTTTTTAGCTTTGGCTCCAACTTTTGAAATGAATCCTATGAAGAAAAAAATCCTGGCTGCTAAAGGAGGACGGGTCATAATTGAATGCAAACCTAAAGCTGCACCCAAACCAAAATTTTTATGGAGTAAAGGCACAGAGCGGCTTGTCAATAGCAGCAGGTTAGTCTGGAGTGCAGTTCAGTATTTGGAAAAGTTTGCTTTGTAAAGAACCTCTTTTCATATTCATAATGTAAATGTTTTTGTTCTAACTTTTCTCCACAGATGATATCACAGTTATAAGGTAAACCGAAATAGTTACCCATTACTGTCCCTATCTATTATAAACATTTAAACATCTACAATTTATAAGGATATTTTAAAAGTGAGGCCCAGAGATTTGTGATAAATTGCCCAAGGCCTCAAAAATAATTAACAATGGGAAATAAAACAGAATCTAATTTTTTCCCTAACAAGCACATCTATAGCCACTCATATTTGATTTAATTTTATTTGATTTAATTTAATTCAACATTTCAGTGGGTAAATAAAAGGTGATTTCAAAGTACAAGTCACCTCTTCCCGTCTTCCAAAGTGAACAAGAACTTCAAATCTTCCTAACTACCTATCAGTATCTTAGAGGCTTTGGGATAAAACATAAAGTATATGGCTTGCATAGATGATTTGCATAAAAGCCAAACTGAATGGTTTTTATAAGTTTTATAAGTTTCCCAGAAGAAGTTATGGTTATATTGAGTAATAAAGTATGGGGAGAAGCAAGTCACGTTGGGAAATAAGAGAAGTGGGATATGAAGGTTGAGGATCAAGAAATATTTCAGTCAGGGGTGTGTGGTATGTGCAAAGGCCCCATGGCAGAGGGCAGAGGATGTATAAAGATTGTAAGAACTAAAATCAGTGTGGCTGTCTTTAGAGGAAAATGAAGAGTGTTATGGGATGACACAAAGTAAGCCAGATGATCAGAAATGTTTTTTGTGCTGAGGGACTTGGCTTCATCTACTAGTAATGGAAATCTCTCAAAAGGCTTAAATAAGGGAGGGAAAAAAAGTAGCTTTTGCTTTAAAAATATTCTGGCAAAGTGTAAAATATATCCAATAAAGAATGTAAGATGGATGCTACCATCTCTATTTTTATATACCTAAAGCCTGGAAAGGTTTAAGTAACCTTCTGAAAATGGGTCAAATGATCTCTAAGCTAGAACTTTGAACTTGTGCCATGTTGACATGGAATGAACATATTCCTCTTGTTAGGATAATCACTGGTATGACTGTGTATATGACAGAAATGGAGTGGGAAGGGGTACACAGGGACAGCAGCTGTTTCCCAGAACACATTAACTTTTATAGTTAATATGCTTGACTAAGAGTTATTAAGATTTTAACAAAATGATACCTGAAGAATTAGTGTTAAAGGAAAAGTCAATTTGTGCAATATAGCGTTGAAACTTTAGCAGTCAGACAATGAATGATACAGACCGTAATCAGAAGGTAGTTCCATTCTCAGGTATTCACCACTACAACAGCCTGGGGCATGGCATTCACTATTGGCTGTACCATTAGCTCTCTCTCCTTCATGAAAAGAATCTTGCTCTGATTCCTGCGAGGACTCATGTCATAGAACTCTGCAATCATGGATTTCTCAGAACCATGCTTCATGGATTATGCTGAGATAATTTTGGCAACAAGTGACTAATTTGTTAAAGACTTTGCGGTTCCTGGCTTCTGTGACTGTTTATCTATATCATATTTTCTGAAAATAAGAGGTATATTTCACTTGTATGTGAAATCTAAAATATGCCACAAGTGACCTTATTTACAAAACAGAAACAGACTCACAGACATAGAGAGAGACTTGTGTCTGCCAAGGAGGAGGCGCTTAGAGGAGGGGTGGGTTGGGAGTTTGGGATTAGTAGATGCAAACTATTATATACAGACTGGATAAACAACAAGGTCCTACTGTAAAGCACAGAATAGTCAATATCCTGTAATAAACCATAATGGAAAACAACTTTAAAGATTTATAAAATAAAGTAAAAATCCAGGGACGGATAATCCGATAATGACTCTAAGTGCAAACATTATATAATAAAGTTATATAATAATATATAAAGTATTAATATATGTAATATAAATTATGTATGATATATCATAATATATGTGATATTAATATCATATCACCTAGATGTAAAAGTTATAAGAAATGAGTTTTTGGTCTCCTGGCTCTAAGGAAGAGGCAGACAGGCAGAGGGAATAGATTTAAGTTCTGTTAGTATGAAAGATTTAGTTTACATTCATAGAAGAATTTCCTAAGTAGTAATTTATACAGAAGCTTTTACTAAGGAAAGTTTTACAATATCTTTGTTTGAAAGTTTCTAAAAATAAAGTATGTTTGTATTTCTTTGTAACTGTGGAAATAACAGTTTGTTCTAACTTCCAAGTCTGAAGTCCTGAGGTCACATTCCTAGAAGATCTGGACTCATATCTTTCAGGCTTGAGACTGGTATAAGTCTGTCTCACAGTGGTTTAAAAATCATTTCACAGTTGTGCATAGAGAGCCACTGCTTCAGTCAGACTCCAGGTAGTTCATGCATTCAAAATCAGGTTGTTTGAGTGCCTCTTCATTGTTCCATGTCTCCCTCCTTAAGGAGTTTCTGGAAAATAGTATTTTTTGTTTTGTTTTTTCCTAATGAATATATACGTTAATTGAGACGTTACCTAGTTAGAGACAGGGCTAAAAACAAAGCAGATAAAAATTCCTGACATCTAATGCAAAGATAGATTAATAAGTAAAACTGAAGTATTTTTCTGATGAAATATGTATTAGGAAGAAAAATTCTGGGAACAGGGATAGCATGAGTAATGCCAGGACAGTAGCAGAGCCTTTTGTGCCTGTGTGCATGTCATAATATCTAGAAGTATCAGGCAAAGCTTTACTGAAAGTGCCACTGTGGAAAACCCTGAAGAATGTAGGAAACGAACTATGAAATTGTTTTGGGCCTGAAAAGTCAATCTGAGGACTGTGGCCCCTACTATGCATGAGGTGGAACAGTCACTAGAGGGTCCTGTGACATCAGTGAGTGACATCAGTGAGCCAGAGAGTGATGTGATATTAGTTACATGACGTATATCTTCATGTCTGGCTGACATGTGGGAAAGGAGACTGTAGAGAGACAAGGATGGCAGCAGGAAGATAGGATTACTGTGATAGTCCAAGAAAAAGATGAAGATTGCTTTCCAAAACAATTTGATGTTGGGAAAGAATGTTCTAAGCAAAGGCTAGAATGTTTCATCTTTAAAAAGTCTCTGTCAAGCAATTTATATAAAATGTTAATGATACAAAGACATTAGTGTTTTTAATCTAATACATAGAATAATAGCATATTTCATTAAGTTGATTTTGTGAAGTATGTATTTTTTTCATTTCATAGGGTACTCATTTGGGAAGATGGCAGCTTGGAAATCAATAACATTACAAGGAGTGATGGAGGTGTCTATACATGCTTTGTAGAAAATAATAAAGGGAAGGCTAATAGCACTGGGACTCTTGTTATCACAGGTAAGAAAACATTTGATTAATTTTACATTTTTTTTTAAAGTTTAACAATGCTTAGTTTCTAATGTGCCATAAGACGTGATTCTGTACTAAGTTTATAAGACAATTCATGAATTGATGCTTCCATTTCAAAAGCCTTCTGGGAAAGTCTCTTGCTTGATGAAACTGTTCTGGGAATTTGATTTGTAGACTTCTTACTCCTTTGCCCAGGGATTTCAATTATACTGATTTTTATTTTGTAATATACTGGATAATATGGTGTCTCCTAATTTTTTGAATTGTGCTTTACTTCTTTATTTAAAAATATATAGATCCCACACGAATTATACTGGCCCCAATTAACGCTGATATCACTGTTGGAGAAAATGCTACCATGCAGTGTGCCGCTTCCTCTGATCCTGCCCTGGATCTGACATTTGTTTGGTCCTTCAATGGTTATGTGATCGACTTTAACAAAGAGAACATTCATTATCAGCGGAATTTTATGGTACGTGTTTTATTTATAGCCTGTCCTTATTTTCATCTTATTAACATTCTGACGTCCCCCATGTGCCTGCATGGGAATTTTTATTACTAAATCATATCCCTGAGACTGAAAAACAGACAAAATTTTTTTCATGGGCCTCCTTGAATTAATCGTAGTATTCCTGAACCTTGCTAAAAATGACTAGCCCTGAGGATTTTGGTCGTGAGCCACTAAGGAAGCTGAACAAAACTGGAGTGGGTGGCCTATCCCTTCTTCAGTGGATCTTCCTGACACAGGAATTGAATCGTGGTCTCCTGCATTGCAGGCGAATTCTTTACCAGCTGACTACCGGGAAAGCCCTCATTATGTCCATTTTCTCTTTATTGTAATACAATTTTTATAAGAACGTGCACTCTACCTCATTGTATCTGTACTTTGGGTTCTAAGTGACTTCATTTCAATGGAGGTAAGAGCACAGAATTTAGCCTTTGTTATAATGATGATTTTAAGTCATTTTTTTTTTCTTGAGAGTAAGATATAGACAAAATATATACATTGAAAAGTTTGGAGAAGTAGTTCATGTGATTTTTAAAGGTCTAAATGGCTGTATTTTAAGAATAGGAAGCATGGTGATGTCATTGTATAGAAATAAAGAAAATAGAGGAAGAGGGGGAAGTAATGCAGGAATAATAACTTCTGTAGGAACACCCTTGGTTGCACTGATAAGTCTCCTTAAATTGTGATGAATTTAAAGCACAAATTGATCACCTCTTCTGTCAGACTGTTCTCTAGGAAGGCAATCAGTTTAGAAGCCTAAAGATCTGGCTAGTCCATATGCTTAGTTAAGAAAACATCAATTCTACTTTTAGAAGTCAATTATAATAAGTTTGAACTAAATCAGTATAGTATTTAAGATTTTTCAAGTCCTATGAAATCTGAAGTTTGATACATACCTCTTATAATATTATGCTTTCAAATTGTCTGTTGCTGCTGCTGCTGCTAAGTCGCTTCAGTCGTGTCCGATTCTGTGCGACCCCATAGACGGCAGCCCACCAGGCTCCCCCGTCCCTGGGATTCTCCAGGCAAGAACACTGGGGTGGGTTGCCATTTCCTTCTCCAATGCATGCACGCATGTTAAGTCACTTCAGTCGTGTCCAAACTCTGTGACTCCATAGACGGCAGCCCACCAGGCTCCTCTGTCCACAGGATTCTCTAGGCAAGAATACTGGAGTGGGTTGCCATTTCCTTCTACATTCAAACTAACTATCCTTAAAAAATTCATCTAGAACATCACATTTTAAAAAACCAAAACAAGCATTCAGTCAGGTTGAGATTGATTTTAAAGGGCTGGAAACACTTATTCTTAATTTGTTATTAGACAGATGCATAAAACAATTATCAACACAGTATCAATATTTATGCCTTCCATATGTCAGCCATACTTCCAGTTTCTTTCTTTTTAATTTAACAGATCTAGGTACAACTGTGCATATACAGAGAATCTACTGTCTTTCAGTTTCTGAACCAAATTTACACGTTAAAACTAAACAACTGGGAATTTATAGAAGACAGTTTTAACAGAACATGTGATACTTTTTCCTTATATGTCTATTTTGATGTGCTTAATCATAAGAATGCCCAACATTAGTAAATTTGGTACCACTGTCTGATAATTTCTTCACATTATGTTTGGTTTTGCAAGAAAAGCAAAATCCACTCAATATTCATTCATTTAAAAAAAAAGTAAACAAAATAGAGGTTTTTTTTTTAAGTAGACTTTTGAATTTTAGTACCTTGGTGTTATATACTGAATAATGTCTAAAATGCAACAAGTATAATTTATATAAGTACTTACTTTTAGCTGCAGTGGAGTCTATACAAGTAAATTGGCAGTTATAAATTGCCCAAATTAAGCTGAAACTTCATATGTTGAATAAGCTGAAACTTCATATTTTCTTTAAAATAAGTTTCTTTTTGTTGATTGATTCAAATAAACATTTCAAAAGAAAGAAATTAGAGGAAGGAAGAAAGGAAGGAAGAGATAGAAGGAGAGAGGAAGGAAAAAAGAGAAAGAAAGAAAAAAGAAGAGAAAGAGATGTTGGGGGAGGGGAAAGAAAAAAAAGAAAAGAGGCACATGAAGAAATAACTGAAATACTAATTAATAAATTAATATTAAATTGGATGATAATGATGTAAAAGTTGGCTTAAAGCTCAACATTCAGAAAACTAAGATCATGGAATCTGGTCCCATGGCAAATAGATGGAGAAACAGTGGAAACAGTGGCAAACTTTATTTTTGGGGGCTCCAAAATCACTGCAGATGGTTACTGCAGCCATGAAAATAAAAGATGCTTACTCCTTGGGAGAAAAGTTATGACCAACCTAGACAACATATTAAAAAGCAGAGACATCACTTTGCCAACAAAGGCCCATCTAGTTAGGGCTATGGTTTTTCCAAGAGTCATGTACAGATGTGAGAGTTGGACTTTTAGAAAGCTGAGTGCCGAAGAATTGATTATTTTGAACTGTGGTGTTGGAGAAGATTTTTGAGAGTCCTGTGGCCTTCAAGGAGGTCCAACCAGTCCATCCTAAAGGAAATCAGTCCTGAGTGCTCATTGGAAGGACTGATGCTGAAGCTGAAACTCTAATACTTTGGTCACCTGATGCGAAGAGCAGACTCATTGGAAAAGACCCTGATGCTGGGAAAGATTGAAGGCGGGAGGAGAAGGGGACGACAGAGGATGAGATGGTTAGATGGCATCACTGACTCAATAGACATGAGTTTGAGTAAACGCCGGGAATTGGTGATGGACCACTTAAGCAGTCATGGGGTCACAAAGAATGGGACAAGACTGAGCAACTGAACTGAACTGAACTGAATGATGTAAAAGTCTTTGGTCATCATTCACTCACTGTACTCCTTCCTTCTGGATGTTAACCACAGAGGTTCATGTTTTCCCCTCAGAGAAGCCAAAGCAGACCCCAACTGCAGGCCAATGCTCTGGCCTCAGGGACTTGGTTTCAGCTTCATTTCACCAAATAAGGAGTATAATAATAACCAGTGGCAGAAAACATACTCACTGGCTAAATATGCAACTTCAGTTCAGTTCAGTTGCTCAGTCGTGTCCGACTCTTTTGACCCCATGGACTGCAGGACACCAGGCCTCCCTGTCCATCACCAACTGCCAGAGTTTACCCAAACCCATGTCCATTGAGTCGGTGAGCATATTGGGCACCTACTGACCTGGGGAGTTCAACTTTCAGTGTCCTATCTTTTTGCCTTTTCATACTGTTCATAGGGTTCTCAAGGCAAGAATACTGAAGTGGTCTATCACCAATTCCTGGAGTTTACTCAAACTCATGTCCGTTGAGTCAGTGATGCCATGCAACCTTCTCATCCTCTGTCGTCCCCTTCTCCTCCCGCCTTCAATCTTTCCCAGCATCAGGGTCTTTTCCAATGAGTCTGCTCTTCGCATCAGGTGACCAAAGTATTAGAGTTTCAGCTTCAGCATCAGTCCTTCCAATGAGCACTCAGGACTGATTTCCTTTAGGATGGACTGGTTGGACCTTCTTGAAGGCCACAGGACTCTCAAAAGTCTTCTCCAACACCACAGTTCAAAATAATCAATTCTTCGGCACTCAGCTTTCTAAAAGTCCAACTCTCACATCCGTACATGACTCTTGGAAAAACCATAGCCTTAATTAGACGTACCTTTGTTGGCAAAGTGATGTCTCTGCTTTTTAATATGTTGTCTAGGTTGTTCATAACTTTTCTTCCAAGGAGTAAAAGCAAAGGTGCATTTTTAGCACTTTGTAGATGGACAAGTCGATTTAATTCTGTAAATAATTTTAAAATAACAGAAAAGAAATGTATTTTAAAATAAATTGTTAAACTTAATTCAGTCTTTGGAACCTAAAAAAGACCTATAACACTTTTCCTTGCATCTTCCTTCTCTTTCTTCTTTCTTCTCTTCTTCTCTTTCAAAGCAAATTTCAAAGTCACACCTCACTGCTAAATGCTTCTGATCCACCTTTTGAAAGATAGTCCTAATGACTAGCAATTGCTTCTGAGGTTACTAATAGACCACTCTCAGAAAAAGAGCCTCTTCCAATCTAAAACTCAGTTAATGAACACATAACAGTGATGGCAGGTATGGGGATAGCAAATGTGGGGAAAGGATCACAGCTGCCTGCATTTGTCTATTATTCAAGTTGCACTATCAAATACATCAATATATAATAGAGATTTTTAAATCATGTTTTTATATTTTATTTAATTCTGGAAACATTTTAATTATTAAATATCATGTATTCACTTAAAAATATAGTATTGAACACATACTACAGCGGAAACAGTGATACACACCAGAGTAAAGAAAACACTGAATAAGACAAATGCAGGCACTATTGAGATCTATTTTGATGGGGCTTTTTCTGTAAACCTACATCACTGGAAATGCCTTGAGGAGTAACGATGTAGTTTCCTTTACTTACAGAAATACCTGTTATACTATAACATTTTGAAGTGTGTCCATATTCCATTGGAGGTCAAATAAGCCCAACTAAAAGAATTGTGGACTGACTGACATGACAACTGTGGGTTCAGCAAAAATTATTTTTTAAAAGGCTATCATCAAGATTATGACTCAGACATTGGAGTAACTAAGTAACTATGCAAGGAATCAGAACATGTGAAATTCCTAAAAAAATTATTGGCAGATAATTTTGCCTATATTACATTACACATAATAAAAGAAAGCCCTTTACACTTTTTGTAGAAAAAAGAGAAACACAGGCACTGATCTAAAATCATAGCTACCCTATGAGTTTAAAAGTCAAATATAAATAATTTGGAAAAAAATGACTTGGTAGTTATTGCAGTTAATAAAACTATCATCATCATCATATTCAAATCATTTAAATTGCTAAAATTTAATAACTCTAATTCATGAAGAATATAGACATCAAAATTTAAACTTTTAATTCTAAGAATCTGTTTGTATTTTCTCCACCCCCCCAAT